TAACTGGATTTTAGTCAACTCAATCATTTACATAAGCATTTATAAGCTCCATCTTTTTATTACAATTTACTTTGTACCTTTATGACAACTTATTTTGTATCCTTGGGGGAGCTTTATCTTTTTTTTTAAATTTAAAAGTATTTTTCAACTTTTATTTTTAAAAAAATACCCTTAATACTATATATATATATACTCGTTGAAAATAATTCATAAAACTTTTTAATTTAGAACCTTATATTTGTATGGAAAAAAAAAGAAAAAAGCAACCTTAAAATTATTTTTTGTATAAAAACAATTTATAGAAAGCCCATTTGTTAATAGACCCATGTGTTACAAGAGAGAATTAAATCCCAGATTTTATTTATGACAGAATGAAACAGGCTAAGGTAATTTTTAACTACCCAAATTTTAAGATTCCTGTTGCAGGCTGTGCCCTGGCTTTTTTTTTCTTATTTCTCCTCTGGTCTAAGCCAGAGTGTTAACCCCTGAATGCCTGCATCCTAGCAAGACCTGATTGAAATAAGTTTGAAAACCTGTTTTCTTAAAACAGTAGAACAGATTAATAAGTTTTTACACTTACTTTATAATAAGAACCATCCTCAAGATGTTTACATATTCATATGTAAAAAGCTTAAGCAGTTTATAATAGAGATCATTAAAATAAACACCCTGGGGTTTTTGTTACCTTGAATATCACATTAACCTTATAACAGAAGTTTAAGAACCATTTTGAAGATGCTTACATATACATACATACGTAAAAGTTTTAAGTATTCCAGGAAAAAATGTCAACTTAAGTGCACATAAAATGAGCTGGAATTCCAGGAGTAAATTAAATTTCGCCCAGTGCTTTTGTTATCCATCCCTTAACCTCAGTTGTGACCATTTCCTGGAAAAAGCTCAAACCCCCGTTAACTCTCAGAGGTGTCTTACACATTTTGCATAGCACAGTACTTCTGTCTTGCTCGTTGAACCTGAGAGACAGGGCTTCACCCCAAAAGGCAGTTACTAGTAGTCTTAGGGAGGTGATCAGTCTCCTCTTCTGTCTCCTGAGGCAGGCCTGAATTCGAACCTGGATTCTTACCAGTCTGACAAGCAGTGCTTCCCGGTTGGTTTTTGTGGCTCATCCGAGGCCTTTCACCCCGACTTGCTGGGAGGATGAGACTCCCTCCAATTCAAGCTGTCTGTTGGCACCTGGTGGGATCTTCTCCCGGTGATCCAGGGAATGCACCCCAGCGATAAGGGAGATGACAAATTACTATCTCCGCAATTCTGGCAACTAGCTCCCAAGAATTGTTGCAAGAATCTCAAGCTGAGATACGGGACACTGAGGCAGTTTAGCAGGATGCAACATTTTATTGTGCTGGCAGACTCAGGGGTCTCACTTTATATACCCTTGCCCCTTGCAGGCAGGTTACAGAAGCAAAAAGAAAGCTCAACCCACATGGGTGCATGTGACTTCATTGGCTATTTCATTTCCCCAGTGCTATGTGACCTTCTTCATGTTTCAGTTCTTTAAGTTTTATCTCTCTGCTTTGCCATCCCTTTGCCCTGAGTCATTATCAGAACACAGCCAGTGTGTTTCTCTTCTGGTCCCCCTCCCTGCTACAGTTGCTGGTTTTGAGGCCAGCAAGGGTGTGTTGACACTCCAGTAGAGAAATGTGGAAAGCCTGAATCAGGACAATGCTTCATACGTGGTGAGAAGGAGGCTGTAGATTAAAGAAACAGCCAGAGAGGAGGGTGATGTTGAGGACTGATGGTTGAGTGGTTGTAAAAATGAGGCAGGAGGAACAAAACACTGAGGTTGGTAGCCCAGGTGAACAGGCTGACATGGAGCCACCACCCAGGGTAGAGCAGAAAGGAGGAGGGCTCCAAGCTGTGAGTGTTACAGGTAATGTTCCCTGGGAAAGAATTTGACTTGAAGACTCTGCTCAAGGTGCCTAGACTTTATGCTGTGGCCTTTGGCCTTCCAGAGATAGCTGAACATTGTAGTCTTGCTCTCCTGTATTTGAACAGGTGGGTTTCCACCCCTATGCAGGCCCTTGTCAGCATTTTGGTGGTTGCTAGTGGTCACCTTTCTTCACACAGTGGGACTCAGATGAATGATACCTGTCCCCACCAACAAGTGTGGTCACTGAGCTTCAACATGTTTTGAGAGAGAAAAGCTGTGTAGGACAGTTATTAGCTGAACTGTTTCCCAGGGATCCTACATGTGGCACTTCTCAGTGAATGCTACATGTTACCACCAGACAGTTGATAAAATTTTGCTTCTGGACAGTTTTCACTTAGAAGAGATTGGTCTGATGAGTCAAGAGACCTGGAGGCTTGAACCAGGTGAGCTCTTCCAAGTAGCTTAGATTAAATGTTAAAGGGTGTGTTCAATAATAGAACAGTACAGACTGACTGAGTAGCTTCGACAACAGAAGTATATTTCTTACAATCTGAGGCCTGGAAGTCTTCGATCGAGGAGTCAACAGGGTTAATTTCTTGTGAGGCCTCTCTGATGGCCTTATGGATGGTCGCCTTCTCTCTGTGTCGTCACATGGCCGTACCTCTATGTGTCTGTATCCTAATCTTACGAAGTCATCAGACAGATTGGACTGGGGACTAGCCTAACAGCTTTGCTTTAATCTAATTACTTTTTTTAAGGTCCCACTCTCCAAACAGTCAGATTCTGAGGTCCTGGGGATTAGGACTTCAGCCTATGAATTCTAGGAGACATAATCCAGCTCATTCCAGAAGAGGAGGGTCCAGGGGCAGTGTGACAGGCCCACTGTGCTCTGTGTATCTTCATGGAATTGAACTCATGCTCACATAGCCTTGGGTCTTCTGCAGAGTTGGCTGGGACTGTCTCGCTCAGAAGTCCAAGGCCCCCTGGCTGCTGAGTGGCAGGACTCCACTGGGTGGTGCTCTTCTCCATTCTCCCTCCCATTTCTGATATACGGGGGCTGTGGCCCCATCCCCTGTATCTGCTGCCTGTCCCTGTGGCTCTGGTCCATATATAGACCAATTGTTTGGCGATGGGTTCTCACCTGGCATATTTGAATAGAAAGCACAGTACATGATTGGGGGGTGTGGGTCAATGGTAGAGTGCTTGCCTAGCATATATGAGGCCCTAGGTTTGATTTCCCAGCACAGAAATACAGAGGGAGGGAGAGAGAGAGGGAGAGAGAGGAGAGAGAGAGAGAGAGAATAGTAGTCATCCCTCAAGACTCAGGGGAATTGGTTCCAGGACTCCTCTCTGATACCAGAACCCACAGATACTCAAGTTCTTTATATAAAGTGGTATAGCATTTTCAGAGAACCTACATACAGCCTCCACATCTTCCTGTATACGTTAAATCACCTCTAGATGACTTACAGTGCCTAATACAGGTATTGTATGCAAATGCTACGTAAATAGGTGTTATAGGCTATTGTTTAGAGAATGACAAGAAAACTGTATAGGTTCAGTACAGGTGAATTTTTTTCTCCCAAATATCTCCCATCTCTATTTGGTCGAATCTGCAGGTGCAGAACCCATGGCTACAAAGGCTGATTGTGGTTGCTGAAAAGTGTGTCATGTCAAAGATGGCTTCATCTGAAATGTTCTTGCTTCTATTGAGTTCATCTTTTGTTCCTATTAAGCATGACTGGGACTTTTCGATGATTTGTTCTTTATTGCTTTCCCAGGGAAGTTGTTTCTATGTGTAGCTGCTTCTATAGAGACATACCCATGAGAAATGTGACCGTAGTGTTCTCTCACTTGGAAGAAGCGGAGCAGGGCTTTGTCTGTGACTATGACAACATCTTATAGGCTGGGCTCTTGATGTTTCCATTGGCAGTTAGGTTTTCAGTCTTGAACCTGTTTTTAGAGTAAAGGCTTCCTGTGTCTTGGAATTGCCAGAGTGGGCCATCAGCACAGTGCTGCTCGCACACCTCCCTGCGTGTTACTTTGTGTTTGCTTGCAGAAGAACCAATGCTATGGTGGTGAATGATAGCCTTGTAGATAATGCATCATCCCAGCATGCATTTAGCCTTGATATTGTCATTAGCATCTCTTCTTCAGAAAATATGTTGACTTCCATGGTCAGTGTGCATCATCCTAGGAGTTCCAAGTGTTCTCCAGTGAGCTGCGAAGAACAACAGAGGAGGCATTTGAATTGTGGGTTTGTGTGTGGGCACAAGAAGGGCTGTCCGTTGAGGGTATAAAAAGGTACCTTTATGGAAGGTGCCCCCAAGATAGCTCTGCTTAGGGTGGAAGGTTCGGTCAGGCTCCCACTGTAGTTTTGGTAGCTTCCAAGGCCTCCCACTGTGACCTGTACATGGGTTTCTGGGACCATGTCTATCTCAATGGCACAGAAACATCCTGGTCAGCATGGGTCATTGGTGGGTCAAAAGACTGAGTCTGAAAACCAGTGTTTAATCAACTTGGATTATCTTTCTGAAGCTATATAGCAAGGAAACGAAATTTATGACCTTGCCACATGGGATTTATCCCATTTCAAATTTAATATATTAATATTTCTAATAAATTTATGACTTTTTATAAGAAAAAAGTTGTGAAGAAATGTTGACAAAACTAATGTCATTTACTTTTCTAGAGGCATATTTGTATTTTTATGACAATATGAGGTGCTGGTTGGGAGGCTTCCCACTGGGAGCAGGGGCCACCTAGCAAGCCATCCTTGTCTGGCTTCCCAGCTCTGCCCTGCCATTCTGGGATTGGTTCTCTCTAGCTGTGGACAGTCCCTGGAGTGAAAACAAGCCTGTGAGCAAAGTAAATAGACAAGCATCAAGGCTGCCTTAGATGCCCAATTCCTAGTGAACAATAGCTTCCTCTAAGTTCTTGAGACCACAGGACAAACCCAAGCCATCTCTGCTTGGGGTTTCTTATTCCCCTTCCCTGCCCAGGCTCCAGGCTCCTCAGAACTTCCACTGTATCCCTTTCCATGGCAGTGCTGATTGAGACTCAAGGCAGTGTATGCAGTCATGTGATGTGTGCCACTGTTTCTCAACAGCATACACAACAATGGAAAAAAGTCCGGACTGCACAAGGAAAACCTGTTGCTGCGAGGTTGCACCATCCGGAACACGGAAGCAGTGGTTGGCATTGTTGTCTACGCAGGTAAGCACAGGCACAGGCACCAGAGCACTTGTGGTGCTCTGTGCTTTCACTGATTTTTATTTGATTTTTTTTGTTTTTGGTGGTACTGGGGTTTGAACTCAGGGCCTCTTGCTTGTTAGGCAGGTGCTCTACCACTTGAGCCACTCTGGCAGCCTTTTCTCGTATTGGATAGTTTGCAAATAGTTGCAAACTATTTGCTTGGGCTGGCTTTGAATCCTGCTGATCTCTGCCTCCTGAGAAGCTAGGGTTACAGGCGTGAGCCCAGTGCCCAGCTCTGATTTTTTTTTTTTCGGTGGAACTGAGTTTTGAACGCAGGTCTTCTTTGCTTGCCAAGCAAGCCCTCTACCACTTGAGCCACACCTCCAGCTCCCTTTTTGGGGTGGCAGAGTAGGGGTGTGCTTTTAGTTATTGTTCATATTTTTGCCTAGAGCTGGCCTGCACCGTGATCCTTTTACATAGCTGGGATTACAGGTATGTACCACCACATGTGGCTTGTTGACTGAGATGAATTCTTGCTAACTCTGCCAGGCTGGCCTCAAAATGCATTCCTCCCAATTTCCACCTCCAAGTAGCTGGGATTACAGCTGTGAACTGCCATGCCTGACTCTCTAATTTTATCTAATTATAAGACTGGCATAAACCCATTGTAGAAAACTGGAAAATGGGGAGAACAGAAAAGAGCAAAAGCAAGAATTCTTCTAACTTGAACCGAAAATGTTCTCCTAGGGCATGTTAGTGCATTTCTTCTTTTTATTCCCCACAGTTGATACATAAGTAAGATTCATTTTATACTCTGCTATTTCGACCCAACTTCGTCAGATGGCAGCGTAATCATTCACTCTCTGGGATCCCCATCATTGGGCCTGTATCTGTTGGGCGTTGATTCACCATGTCTCGTTGTCTTCCCTTCCAGGACACGAGACCAAGGCTCTGCTGAACAACAGCGGGCCCCGCTACAAGCGCAGCCAGCTAGAGAGGCAGATGAACTGCGACGTACTCTGGTGTGTCCTTCTCCTCGTCTGTATGTCTCTGTTTTCAGCGGTGGGTAAGTCTCCTAGATGGACCACCAGTGGGTGGGCACAGCTGACAGCCTCCAGGAGAGCTTGGCGGGCTGCTCTGTCTCAGCCAGACCCAGCACTTTTCAGTTAAAATACATACTTTTTATTGACACAGACTCTGGGTTGTTTTTACCAGCACTGGCCATGTTGAGATGCCTAATGAATGGCCTTGATGTAGTAATGTTATTTTCTGAATTGACCCCTTACCTGGATGGAGGAATGGATTCATCACAGCAATAGGAAGGAAGCTAGTAACAGACTAAAGCTAATAGCAAGAGAAGCACAAATATTACCAATGAGAACTTCATTGAAAGAGAAAAACATTATTTGGGTCCTAAGAAGAGGCTAGCAGGTTACATGAGCCTTGCGGGGAAGTACGTTGAGGCACCAGAACATGACCTTCTCCTCGACCCTGCTCAGCTGCCAACATGAGCCAGGAAGGTATGATGTGGTTGCAGAGCCCAGTGTAGAAGACATGGGCACACAGAACATAAATTAGGGTTCTGCTGTCAGGTAGGTATGGGACTCACAGGTGAAACAGCGTACTTTACCATGGGCTTTTTAGAACATGAGAACATTCCAGATCTCCCACTTTGTCACTAAGCATCTGGTCTTCTGTGAGGCACACATTGGGAACACCTTTTCAAGAACACATGCAGTTCCTGCAGTGTGACCCATGGTACCATTCAGCACCAACAATGGGAAACTCTTGACGTGAAGAGAACACCAGGTTCATGTTCCTTCCAGAAAAGTCAGATCATGGGTGCCAAGAATACCGAGCGTGTTTGCTCTCTTACAGGCAGGGGAGGCTAACAAACCAAATGTGCTGTGTCGGGCAATAACATTAAAGTGTTACCTCAGTATTCACTGGTAGTGCTCTCACTTTTCTACTGGATGAATGACGCTTCTCTTTGAACATTGCTACAGGACATGGATTGTGGGTACAGCAGTATCAAGCGAAGAAGGCATCATTCCACGTCCCCGAGTCCGATGGCAGTTCTTTATCCCCAGTCACAGCTGCAGTGTACTCATTTTTGACAATGATAATAGTTCTGCAGGTAACAACACTAAGTATTGTGTGATGATTCTTTTAGCTTTCTCGAGAGAACTTAAACATCATCAGACTCGCTAAGAACTTCTATAAACTCTGCATCTGGGAGGACCACAGATACGTCTGTCTGACGCGTTACTTTTTATGTTTCTGCCTGATTATCTGTAGGTTTTTCCTTTGGGTGATTTTCATGTCAAAATTCTCCTTTGCTTTCCTTAAGATTTCTAATGGTTTGGCTTGTTTTTGTTATCTTTTTGTTGTTTTTCCTTTTAAATACTTTTTGGTGTGCCTGTGATCAAACCAAGAGCTTCCTGCATGCTAAGCAAGTGCTAAACACTGACCTACCCCACCAACCTCAGTTACTTAAAAACTTAGTTTTATCTTGAAATAATTTTAGGATTTATAGAAAAATTACTGCTAATACAGAGAGTTCACACACTCATCCTTCACTCAGTTTCCCCTAATGTAAAACATCTTACATTGCCAGTGTTCTTAGTTTTGTAAAAGTAAGAAACTAACTTGGGTACTTTGCTGTGAACTAAACTCCAAACCACTTCATTTGGAGCTCATCCATCTTTCCGGTGATGCACATTTTCTGTTTCAGGAATCAATTCAGGATTATATTGCACTTATAAGCATAGTTTAATATAAGCATTGTTGTTACTGCCACCACCATCACTTCTACCAGTATCATTCACAACTCCCACTCACTAAGAGCCCATGCCCACAAAGGACTTTTAGAGAATGAGGATGGTCCTAGAACTCTGAAGGTGAGAAGGCACCATGAATGTTATTACCACTAAACTTTTTGAGAACACAAAGAATGACCAGAGGACACGCACAACCTTGTCTGAGAGAGGAGCATATGTAGCACAGTTTCTACAACCTGAAACAGCCTTATTTAACATTCTAAATGAGGCTTTTTGTATAAATGCAAATTTTGCTCTAGCCCTAAGTTAGGGAATCATTTTTATTACATGATTAACTTGCCAGGAGAGCTCATTTAGTCTGAGCCTGATATTCTGAGCCCATACTCATTCAATTCTGTGACTCTACAAAGTAAGCAAACATTAATTTCAAGGAAGTTGGTCTTACATTATCAAGATATAACTGTGAATATTTTTCTCCAAGCTTTCATCCCTTTGCCCTGTATCGCACAAGATCATAGAAATTGTCCTTCAACAGAAAACCAATCTCTGAAAAAAGACTTCTTTTCCATTTTGGTTGGTCTCTGAACTGTTGGGTTGTGTCCACAGGTGACAGACAGCTCTTGTCACTTGGGGCTGGAGTGCTGCTGTGGTTTGAGGGGACTTTACTTATAAGGATTCTGACTGTGCCATGTTTGTTTTTTTCTCTCTCTCGTTTCTCTCTTTCCTTTCCTAGCCTCTCTCAAGCACAACTTAGTAATACGAAAATGCTTGCTTCCCTCCAAGCCATGATTATACTTCCAGATGCCATAGTGGATTTCCATTCTGCAGTTGCACCATAGGCTGTTCTATTTTAAACTCTTTGCCAATACTCTAATCCTTTTCCAATAGTGACTAAACCAACCTATTTAAGCTCTTAAAGGTACAGTATAGTTCCTGTTCCTTGTGGTTGTAGTCATTTATCATTTAAGTAGATTGCACTGATCCTGCAGCTCCCCAGTCCTCAGTCATTCATCCTGTGTGCCTTGTGTCTCCTAGGTTTTGATCCCAATTTCCTTGTATGTTTCCATTGAGATTGTTAAAGTGTGCCAAGTGTACTTCATTAACCAGGATATAGACTTGTATGATGAAGAAACAGATTCACAGCTGCAATGTCGAGCTCTGAACATCACAGAAGACTTAGGGCAGATACAATACATCTTCTCCGATAAAACCGGCACTTTAACTGAGAATAAGATGGTTTTCCGAAAATGCATTGTGTCTGGCATAGAATATTCTCATGATGCAAATGGTGAGTTTGGGGGTAGGGAGGCTTGCAGTCTGGGCTGAACCAGAAAGCTGCTCTAATGAATGCTGTATGTGGATGGACACACACGCACACACACACACACACACACCCCACAAGCTTCAGAGATTGCTGATTTTCAAGAGAGAATAAAAGACGTGGCTGTCAGAGCACCTTGGGTGCCTGAAGCCTGGTGTTATTTATAGAATGGGCTGGCATCGCCTGCTCACTGCAGTATCTGCAATAATGGTCATGTGTTTCAGCTCGTTTTCTGCCAGGCAAATGCAGCAGCCAGGCAGAGCACCCTTGATGTGCTCCCTTCTGCAGCATGCAGTCTCTGCACTCTGCCACACTGAGGGATGTCCTGCTGTCACTCATCCGTCTTCTTGTTATCAGCTGAAAGTACTCAGGAGAGCACTGGGTAATTCGTGCTGCATTCTTTCTCTTGGAACACAACGTCTGTGGGAGCTGCAGAGAAACTAACCGCCTCACTTCTGATTATTTAGACCACCCTTCCTACCATCTCTCCTTTCCTTATCCTCTGCTGCCTCCTTCCTCACTGAAGGGAGGACTCCTGGACCCACCAGCTTCTTAAGCCAAGGATGACTGGAGCCACCCACTCCCCACACCCACCAAGAGAGGGCACTATGGTGAGGTTTTGGGGGTTATAGCGTACCCAAACAGAGCTCCCTTTCTGTAACAGCAGCAAAGAACATCAAAGAAAGCATGCCCCAAAATAAGATGGAGTACAGAGTGAGGTAGAGGAAGGGGAACAGCTACATCCCCGGCCCCCAAGAATTATCTTGCTATCCACAGTCTTCCTCCGTGTACAGATAGAACAGCCATGTTAAACAGAAGGCAATGCAACTTACCCACTTTATTTAATGTTTTGTTTGCCACCCAAAATAAACTGCCAGTGATGGTTTAGCATGCATCCATCTATCTGCCCTCTTTCTTCTGGCTTCCATACCCTCTCCCAGTCTCATCCCCTACCCTCTCACCTCCTCTTCCCCGCCCTAACTGCTAACCCTTGTGCAGAATGGTTCATTCCCAAGCAGCGTGTTCTGCAAGAACTTTCTAGAGATGCAGGTAGACAAGAAGAATAGGTTGACTATCTACTGAGCAGCAGAGTGACTCTAGTCAATAATAACGTATTCTATATTTCAAAATAGCTGAGAGTAAATTTCAGATGTCCCACTATAAAAAATGATAGGTAAATAAGGTGATAGATAGGTTAATTAGCTTGATTTAATCATGGTGCATTATAGACATATCAGAACATCACATTGTACCCCTTAAATGTAAAAAAATATGATCTGTCAATAAAAATATTAATAATTCATTTTTTAAAAATAGTAAATTTCGAACCTGATGCTCCATGGGGCAGAATCACAGAAAGATTTTTTTTAATTGTCATGTTAGGGGTACATTGTGGCATTTACAAAGTTCTCATGATGTATCAAATATACCATGCTTGAATTCTCCCCCTCTATCATTCTCCTTTTTCCTCCTCCCCTGGAATAGTTTCAACAGGTCTCATTTTTCTATTTACATACATGTGTACACAATATTTGCACCATATTCATCTCCTACACCCTTTCCCCACTACCTCCCCCCTCCCAGTGGTACCAGCCCCCTCATACCGGACCTGTTCTACTTTCCTGTTTTCCATTTTTGTAAAAAATAAAAATAAAAATGACATGTTTGTTTAAGATAGCTATACAGGGAGTTTCCTTGTGACATTTCCATGTATATATGTATTATAACCCGAATTGGTTCATCTCCTGTATTTTTATTCTTTCTACCTTAGTCCCCTTCTTATGTTAATTTCAACAGGTTTAAAAAATTCTATATTCATTCTTGTATAAAGAGTACATCAACCTTATTCACCTTCTTAACTTTCTTATTTTACCTTCCCTCTCTTGTATCTGACCTCTCCTTAGTGTGACCTGTTTTTCATAGTATTGCTGTAAATGTATTAGGTCTATATTCCACATAAGGAGAGAAAACATGTGACTTTTGGCCTTCTGAATCTGGCTAACTAAAGATGATGTTCTCCAATTCCATCCAGTTACTTACAAATAACAAAATTTCATTCTTTTATATACAATATATAAATACCACATTTTCTTGATCCATTCATCAGTAGTGAGGCATGTTGGCTGTTTCTGTAGCTTAGCTATTGTGACTAATGCTGCAATAAACATGGGTGCTGATGGGAATGTAAATTAGTGCAACCACTATGGAAAACAGTATGGAGGCTCCTCAAAAACCTAAAAGTAGAACTGCCTGCCATATGATCCAGCAATTCTCCTCCTGGGGATATGCACGAAGGAATGTAAGTCACATTTCAGTAAAGGCACCTGCACACCCGTGTTTATCACAGAAAGATTTTGACAGTTGTCAAACACTTACCATAAAACCAAAGGGCTTGGTCACCTCCAGAAGATATAGGAGAGAATTCCTGGTGAGGAATGAAACAACCATGTGTGATGACGGCAGGCTTTATAGGCATGCCTGGATCAGCAGTTGACAGGCACCAAGGCAGAGAGGCTTCAGGCAGTTAATGTTCTCTGGCAAATGAGTTTGGTTAGATTGGCCTCTTAAGCACTGAGCCGAGCTCACATACCAGAATCAGCCATGGAGACCACAGGTGTGCCCCTCAGCGACCTCATGACCTACAGCCAGCTGACTGTGCATGCCCAGGGCTTGATATCACTGAGGCCACTGGGGTCAGAAACTGCCTCATCCACCAACATGCCAACAGTGGCCCTGAGGGACTGAACTGTAGCATCTCACGCCCTGCTGGGGGAGGTGGGGCAGAGGTTTGCTCTTCTGCAGGGTGAAGCCCTAACTTCCCATACACAAGGCTAGAACATGGACACAATCATGTGCCCAAGCTTTGTACTTCCTTGCCATCCAGCTGTCACCAAACTGAGGCTTATGTCACCCAAGAGCATAAGGAATGTGGGAGGGATTTTACTCCTTGTAATCCTGGTATTAAGATGCATTCAAGCCTATTGACAGTGGCAGATGATGTTCCTCCTCCTCCTCATTTTTCCATTTCTAAGAGAAGAACTGATGGTTTATATAAAGACCTGGCCCACAAGGCTGACCAATGCCATGGGCACCCAGTGCAGGCTCCCTAGTGTTATCCCACACTCTGCTTGCATTTGACATTCTGATTTAAATGCTTGTTTTGAATTAGTAATCCTTATGAATAGTCTCATTGTTGCTAATACATGATGCAACAAGCTATTTTAGTGGGCAAACTTAGGAAGACTGATTCAGAGCCAATGGTTAGCAAGAAATGGCAGTGCAGGCACTTCTTCCAGGCCATTTACTAAGCGCCCATATGACTAGGGAGACTGCTCAGCAGTGCCCCCTAAGGGTTCAAGATTAACAACGTGGTCAGGATCCTGGTGGCTGGAGCTTTGCTGGTTGGGCCCAAACCCTAGTTGTCTGCTACCAAGCTGTGTGATGTCAGAAGAAGTGTGAGCCTTGCTGTTCCATAACACGTCATGGGGACAGGAGTGAGTGCACCCTGCCCATGTGACCCTGAGTGAGGAGCCTGTGCTTGTGAGCACCCTCATCCCAGCCTGAAATTCCAGGCATTTCTGTTTAGAATGCAGATGCACAAGGCTTCATCTGCCTGGAAAGCCCCAGTGAAGCAGGTGGCCCCATGACCCCGCCCCCCATGAGTGACAGGCAAATCCCAAGGCCCTGTGGTGTGGACCAGGCAGTATATCTGCCCTGCCTTCATTCAGGCCACCTGCCATCCTGACCCCATGCACACCTTGACTCTACCTGAGCAGAAAAGTGACTGTAAACCCACATCTGCCCGTACCTGACTCGGTCAAGTAGGTAGAATGGCCACTGTGCCCTACTGGGCGAGACCCAGGTTTTGGCATCCCTTGAGTTCTCTGAGATGAGATTTGTCTTGTCATCTGAAATGGGTTCGACAATATAAGCCTCCTCATGGTGACTCAAAGTACATACAAACCGAATGTTCTATGTCCCTCTGTCAGTGAAAACTCACTAAACGTGGTCTCACTGTCAGACAGTGAGGAGTGCTCGGTGGGAGGGGGAGGCTTGTCAGAGTCTCAGGAATATAAAACACCGTGAGTCAGTTCAGCCTGTCTTCATGATATCTTACCCTGTGTTCCTCGCCCACAGCCCAGCGTCTGGCCAGGTATCAGGAGGTAGACTCGGAGGAGGAAGAGGTAGTGCCCAAGGGGGGCATGTCCCAGCGTGGCAGCGTCGGGAGCCACCAGAGTGTCCGGACCATGCACAGGACGCAGAGCCTGAAGTCCCACCGGCGCACAGGCAGTCGGGCAGAGGCCAGGAGGGCCAGCATGCTGTCCAAGCACACAGCCTTCAGCAGCCCCATGGTCAGTGCAGGCAGTGGATGTGGCTCTCTCAGAGCGCGACCCAGCCTGCTTTCCTGTTTTCTTGCTGTTGTCACTGTCTTCTATCACCGAAAGTGTCTATATTTGATTATCCAAATAAGCTTTTGTTAGGTAGTTTGGCTCTGCTTAGTTTGCAAAAGTTTTTCTAGTCAATGCCTTCTTTCCACTATTGTGGAAAACTCTTCTGAAACACTCACACAGCCTCTTTGCCATGATGCCCATAACCACCCAGAAAGGATGATAGAGAGGAAGCCTGGCCTGCCAAATAAAATGAATAAAACGAGACTGGAGGCTGAAATCGGGAGGATTGTGGTGCCAAGCCAGCCAGGGCAAAAGAAGATGACAACTGACAAAAGCAAAGCCAGTCCCTTCTGTTCTACAAACACACACACACACAGTTTAATTAGATGAGCCCAATCCCTAAAACCTCTTCCTTGCCTTGTCTGCTGCATGTTTTATGTAAATGTGTATTATACGTATATATTATAAGCATATATATATATATATACACATATGTATATAAAATACAGAAGCTACCATTTAAATATAGTGATCTAGCCAGGTACTAGTGGCTCACACCTATAGTCATCACTACTTGGGAGGCTGAGATTGGGAGGATTGTGGTTCCAGGCCAGCCCAGGCAAAAAGGTTCACAAGGCCCTATCTCAATGGAAAAAAAAGCTGGACCTGGTGGCACATGCTTGTCATCCCAGCTACAGTGGGAAGCATAAGATAGGAAGATCGAGGTCCAGGCCAACCTGGGCAAAAAGCAAAACACTATCTCCAAAATAACCAGAGCAAAGAGGGATGTAGGTGTGGCTCTCACAGTAGAACACCTGCCTAGCAAGCACAAAGCCCTGAGTTCAAACCCCAGTGTTGCCAAAATACACAAATTAACAAAGAAATCTCAAAATACGGTTTTACACAAGGCATATGGGAAGAGGGACTCAGGGAAGGAGAAGGAAGACTGCATTGGAGCAAATTTTCCTGACAACATTCTATAATGTGTGTGAAGAACATGCAAAGTATTCAAACTTTCTGACCTAGCAATTTAGTGATTCAAAGATTCCTATACACAGAAGTTTGTCAATATGTGAAGTCAGCAAAATGGTGAAAGAAATTTAAATAGCCAGTTATAAAAACGTGCAGATAAATGATGGTATGTCCCCCTATTTTGAAGTTGTGTTTAAGAAATGGATTTTCACACAATTTTTAAAGCTAGGGAAAAGTTCAGACAGTATTATGTTTGGGGGAGAAATTAAAATTTCCAATTTGCATATGAAATATTTTGATTACATCAAATTTAAATATGAGGAAAAAGGCTGCAAATAAGAATATGTGCATATGTAAGTGACATTTTATACAATTAAATTTGTACATAAAATGACATGTGTATATGTGAGATGAAATTCTGTTTACACCTTATAATAAAATTAACACTCCTTAAACAAATAAACACCATGACATTTGCCTGGTCAGACTTACCATGTGCCTTTATTTTCTTCCCAGGAGAAAGACATTACACCAGACCCAAAGCTGCTGGAGAAGGTGGGTGAGTGTGACAGGTGTCTGGCCATCGCCAGGCACCAGGAGCACCCGATGGCCCACCTCTCGCCTGAGCTCTGTGATGTTTTTGACTTCTTCATCGCTCTCACCGTCTGCAACACAGTAGTCGTTACATCCCCGGATCAGCCACGGCAGAAGGCAAGTTCTGGAGTACCCCCCCAGCCCACAATGACCATGACCTTGTGCGAAGCCCTATGTTGCCAGTCTTTTACAAGGAAGCATGCTACTTGACCCCTCCCAGGTTTAGGTACTGCAGGGTGCTTCCTATGGGACAAAACAGTGCAGTCCTTCTGCACTGCCACTCCTATGCTGCAGTGGGCAGGTGCCAGGACTGAGAACAAATGGGAGAGGACAGATTGCCAGAGGTACCTTCTCAATCCAGGATGGGAAAGGCCAGAGCTGCCAGCCAGTTCCTGGCCTGGGGTGGCCAGATGAGTTCTGGATGCTCCATCTGCCTTGGTACTTCCTAAACTGCCTGGACCCAGGCAGAGGCAGAAGGAAGGCTATCCAAGATGACTTCCGCAGACACTTAGTGTCCTATATTTACACAGGAGGGAGGACAACATGGGTTGGGGGCACAGATTCTGGGGTGCTTAGACTGTAGTCCTGACCTACTCTAGATGTAGTACGCTAATCTCTGTGCTTCAGGTACCTCAACTGGGACATGGGGCAGTGGTGAGGACATATGGAAAGGGCTCAGAGTTGAGTTTGGCATACAGCACATGTATAAGATATCATGAAGACATTTAGGATTATGTTTCAAGGAGAAGCGGGTGAGAATCAGCCAGAGTTTTCTTAGGATGATGGAAATACAGCGATACCCAGGCTGGTTTGGGTTTAGTCTAACACAAAGGCTCTCTCTGAAGAGAAGAAAGGTTTCTGTGTGAAGGGACCCTATTGCAACTCACGTGCTCCTCAGAAAGTCCTGCAGGTGGACCACACTCGGGTGGGCTGCACATAAGCATGAGTGTGCATATGGAACCTGGCAGTTTGGAATGGATGAAAAAATGGAGATGTACAGGATCTGTGGGTGTGTGCCATAGATCTGGGTCAGCCCTGCTAGCAGACCCCACTGGTGGGTGATGTGGGGTAAGCAAGGTGGTCTGTACTGTCTGCTATAGCAGTATGTCTAAGACAGGTACCACCCTACTGTGCTCTTACTTTGGCCACACCAGTCTACTGAGGCCCTAGTGGACCTGGTAGATTCCAGTGAACAGGTCTGGGCAGGGACTGCCTCTTACTTCAGCTCATGGCTGCCTCAGCATCTCTCATCTGACCTTCATGATCTTCCACCACCCACATTAAGACCCTCTGGTTGTCTGTTTCGTAGATTAGGTCCTGCCTGACAGACACAAGCAATATCGCAATTACTGCATAAGCAAGAGAGAGAGGGAGAGAAAGAGAGCACCCAGTATCACTGGGGTGTGTTGTAAAGGTTACACATGCTGAGTTCCATGTAGGGAACAGAATACTTCATCTTCAGACTGCAAATGCACATGTCTCTGGGTGCATTTTTGTTCCCACATATGGTGAGTGCCACCTTCAAGACCATTTGGAGCCATCAGGGACTTCAGGGTGGCTGCTTACGTCCCCCACTCAGATATGTAGCATATTTGAAGGGATTATAGGCAGTACGGGCATAGCTGAATAGTATGGAGTATATGCTTAGCTCGGATAAGGCCCTCAGCTCAATTCCCCAGAACCAAAAAGAATAAAAAAATGAATAAACTCATATGGAACCAGAGAAAAAGTACTGTTGTCATAATCTACTCCTTTGTGTCTTATCTTCAAGCTGCTATTGTCATTCACAATTTTGGTCAGATAGGCTCAGTTGCAACATTTAATCTCATGCCTATAATCCTAGCTGCTCAGGAGGCAGAGATCGGGAGGATTGCATCTGAAGCCTGGGCAAATAGTTTACAAGACCCTATCTTGAACATATCCAACACAAAACACTTTATCACTTGGCTGAGTGGCTCAAGTGGTAGAGCACCTGCCTAGTAAGGAGGAGGCCTTAAGTTCAAACCCCAGGACTGCCAAAAAAATTGCTATATTTCTATTGTTTGGTTTTTCAACATTTACTCTTTAAATAAAGTGTGGCTCCCTTGCTACATTTTTGAGATTTTTGAAATTTTAACAGCTGTATATGTGTAATGCATTTTGATCCCTTCCTTACTTAATTGAGATTGTTGAGGTATTTAATGATTTGAATCCTGACTTTGTCTATGTATTTAATTTGCTGAGAAAACTTCTCTTGAGTTTAGACATGTGATTTGTATATTAAATTTTTTACAAACATAATTCAAAAGAATATATAAAGTAATCTTTTTAGTTAGAGGAAGGAGAAGCCCAGTTTCTTGCCAGGCAATGGTGGACCTGCTCCTTCGAGCCTTTTATGCAAAGTGTGGGGACACTGTGATCCCCTCACCTGTCTTCTGACTGCTTCTCTTGCAGGTGAGGGTGAGATTTGAGCTGAAGTCCCCGGTGAAGACCATCGAAGATTTCCTGCGCAGGTTCTCGCCCAGCCGCCTGACCTCTGGCAGCAGCAGCGCTGGGAGCCTAGTCACCAAGTCCAGCCAGAAATCAGGGTCCAGCTTCCTGTCTAGCCTGTCCCACGACAGCATGCTTTTTGGACTGGAGGAGAGGCTGGGCCAGCCGACACCTGCCATCTCCAGCAATGGCTTCAGCAGCCAGGCAGGCCAGGCAGATGGCTGGGCCCCAGAGTGCACCCAGGATGAGCACCAGGAGCAGGAGCAGGAACTATGGTATGAGGCCGAGAGCCCGGATGAGGCTGCACTGGTGTATGCAGCCAGGGCCTACAACTGCACACTGGTGGACCGGCTGCACGACCAGGTGTCAGTGGAGCTGCCCCAACTGGGCACACTCACCTTCGAGCTCCTACACACACTCGGCTTTGACTCCATCCGCAAGAGAATGTCAGTGGTGATACGGAACCCACTCACTGACGAGATCAGTGTCTACACCAAGGGGGCTGACTCTGTGGTCATGGATCTCCTGCTGCCCTGCTCCTCAGGTACCCTTCCCCTCCACCCCTACAGCTGCACCCCAGCACAGGGGAGAAAGTTTTGAGAAATTCCACCCAGTCCTTGGGTAAAGGGATTTTCATTCATACTTCTAAAGCAGCTGCATCAGAAAACTGCAGTTTCTCTGGATTAATATTTCCAAGTTTGAAGGGTTTTGACTGGAATGCATCTGGGGGGCTTCAGCGCCTGGTTCCTCCCTTGACCTCTTTCTAGAACAGTTAGGCTGGGGATTACTTGGAGAGCATCAGATTTTAAATCCGAATAGTGAAGGCTAAGATCTTTTAGACCAGAAGTTCTGGAAGATTCTTCCTGCCCTGTGGACCTGGGATAGTTTTGACATCCAGGCCACAGTTTGCAGCCTGTTTGCCAGGCTTCCTCAGGCCTCCTGGGGTCCAAGGAGGTAGGGGCTGTCAGCCTCTTTATCACCTTCTGTCCTGACTTTGGATCAAGCAGCAGTTTTGGTCTTTTTCATCACTTTTGGGTAAAAATGAGGTTTAAGAAACTAGTGGGGTGAGAAGGGTGGAACTTTAGCTGCAAAAGAGCTTGTAACTTTTTCCAGCTAGAAGTGCACCTGAGCCTGGGAGGGAAAAGGAAGGGCCACGCTTGTAGACAAACCTCATCATTCCCCCTTCAGCACTCACAGGATGAGGAGCATGAGGTCACCTGTGGGGGTCAGGAGCAGAGTGGGGATACTACTGGTAGCTGGAGAGAGACCCACTTGGGGCTTTGCCACCTGATCCCTGTAGCCTTTCCATTTGTCATATTCTGAAAACAGCTCTCATACCACCTGTTGTAAATCATTTGCACTAGCTAAGTCCTTCTGGCGCTCTGGAATAGAGCCAGGAAATACTTTATCTTCCACCAGCCCTTCTCACCATGATCTCAGCTCCCTATTTCATGACTTCATGCACTGAGGCCTGGAACTACCTGATTATCTGAGTGTACTAGATCCTCATCTTTGCAGACAGGAAATCTGTGTCCCTGTCACATCTGTGTCCTCTAAAGAGCAGCTGAGCTAAACTTGGAAATGTGTCTCTGAAAACAGTTTGGACAACCTCTCATGGTAACAGTGGACTCTCTTCTCCATTACCTTGGTTCTGCCCTAGTGTCAGCACAGAATCCAATTCACAGGCTGGCTTTGTATTCCAAGAACCTTCTTCATTCTGACATTCGATTCTTCTTTGTGTCCACATGAAAGGAAAACACTGTTAGGACAGTTATCCAAGCAGATTGCATACTACTGCAAAAAGTCACCTTTGTCCTGTTCTGTGGCTCTGCATTAAAGGCAATGTTACAGAGCCCCATGCCTCAGTCTCCACACACACACATCGCTATGTCTAAGGTAAACGCCTGGACCAGCACTAGCATGAAGAGTAGGACAAGGGCAGCAGAATAGTCCTGTCCTGTCCTCAAGAGAGGGTAAGGACCCTGTTGAGCTGTGCAAGGAAACAGGCTCCATGTAGGAGGCCACAGCAGAGACACTTGTCCTCTCTACCAATGTATATGTTTAAATAGCCACTCCAGTGGCTCCTGAGTGTGCCCTTGCTTTTCTTGCACAGCATCTGCAAGGCAGGAAGGCACTTGATGCCAGTTACCAGACGATCCCCATCACACTCCTTATCTGATTCAGAATCGACCTCAAAGTCGGGACCACATAGCCCAGAATCAGGCTGGGAACCTTGCAGCCCCCTCCACCCAGCCTTGCAACCCTAACTGCATCCACATCCTCTGCTTGTCCACCTCCCACTGGGGGTCTCAGGGAGAAAATCTACTATATCCAAATAACTCCAGGTAGTAAGAGAAGAGCTCCAACCCCCGTATCCTAAAAGGGCCAGGTAATGGCATTGCCGAACTCTCATGTCATCAAAACCATGACATCTATGGGGAAAATTTAAAAGCAGCACTTTATCTGGGCACCTGTGGCTTTTGCCTGTAATTCTGGCTATTTGGGAGGCTAAGATTGGGAGAGTCACAGTTTAAAGCCAGCCTAGGTAAATAGTTTGAGAGACTCCAACTTCAAAATAACCAGAGCAAAATGGATTGGAGGTGTGGCTCAAGCAGTAGAGCACCTGCTTTGCAAGTGCAGAGCCCTGAGTTCAAATTTGTGTTGATGTCCATCTTGCTGTGGGAAATCTGTGCTGCAAGTCAGTTTGGATCTGGAAGATCTCCATGTAAACACTGGGCAAGTTATGGTTGAGGAAGTGCAGAGGCTCCAAGTGAGAGGAGCGTAAGGATGGCAGCAGGGTCACCTTGATGCTTCTCAGATGGGACACCCTAGCCTTATGCTTACATGGTCCAGTTTTTACTTTGGAGAGGGTCGGGGCAGCTATGGAAAAGAACAGAACCCTTGCCAGTAGGTAACTGCCTGGGAAGCAAAGCATGTGGCCAGGCTGTTGGATCTGCATGCAGGTCATAAGTGAAGACAGCACACAGTTGTCACATCTGGATTTACTATATTCTCCTTCAAAGAGCTTGTCACACTTTCAACAAAAGAGGCATAAATCAACTGAGCAGACAAGAGTTGACTGTGTTGTAAGGAATGTTGTCAGCAGAACATGGTCATGTCTTCATCTTATCTGCCCTAGCAGGAGGTTGTGGTGTCAGGTAGAAAGCAGGAACTCCACTCCACCCCACTTCTCATAGACCTCTGTCCTGTACTTACTGGCTGGGGTGACCCTGGACAAATCACACATTCACTTTCTGTGCCTGTTTCCCAGCTGTACAAAGAAAATCACCAAGCCAACCTCACAGGAAGTCGCCATTGAAGCCCCTAGCACTACGTTAACCCAGTGTAACGTAGACATATGGTGTAAGCACCATCCCTTTCCTGTCTCCCTCCTTCCCCTCAAGATTCATTTGCCTGTGATTTGGTGAACTTGCCACCTTGTGTTGTCTTTAAGGCATAAGCCCTCATCTTCCCTACCCTTCTCCAAGGACAAGGACTGAGAGACACAAGGATTGTGGTCCACCACCTAGCAGGGGCTCCCCACTAAGTAAATCAACAAAATATTTTGCATGAATGAATGAACTCATGAACAAGCAGGAAAGTCATCTTCCTTTGGAGTATCAAATCTTAAGATCAAACTCCTTATTAGTAAAATAAAATTTCCGAAGTGTAAAGGAAATGAAAATATCATTTAGAGTAATGTAAAAACACACATTCAAAGCAGGAAGAGAAGTTGCCTTCCTCCCCCAGATCTCTCCAAGTGTTGTGAGCACTGCCAGCAGCCTCCTGGTGATAATCCAGGTACAGCTGATCAAAGTCCTGCTGTGTCTCAAGGTTAGTGGACATGCAAGCCATCTTTACACACTGTGACAGGAATGGAGACATCACTGCTTGGCACTGTACCCCTGCCCCTCCAGGAGCAGCTGCAGTGTCCTGCTGCACAGAGCCCTCAGCTGTCACATTCAGCCAGTAGTAGAGGCACTGGACAACCTTGGTCTCACCTGTGCACATTGTATTCTTCCAATACCCAAGGAACTCAGCACCAGATACAGAATTCCTCCTGTTACCATAGGTAGAAAAAAACAAGGACTTGGATTACTGCATATCAGAAAGAAAGGGCTAATATTGCATGACTGTCACCTCAGATACAATGTAAATGTTACTGTGAAGTAAGCCTAACCAACCTGGTCCCACCGCTGGGCAGACAGAATCCCTGTTCCCCAGTGCAGTCTCCTTAGGCTCCTCTAGCTCCTCCATGATGGTGTATATGTATCTAAAGTTCTTCCCACCCTCCTGTGTCCTCCATCAGACCACAGACCAATCCCAGCAGTCACACAGAGCAGGTCCTACAAATCTCAGCAATGTGTGCTCCCACTGACTCTCCAACCTTTGACACATTGAGGATTTGTAAGTGAGAAGCCACCTCATAGTAAGAGCAAGGTCTTGCCAGCCATGGTGCAGGTGTGTGTCCTTGTGTCTGGGCTTGGGGACAGAGTAGTGAGCAGCTTCTGCCTGAAACAGCCAGGTGTTGTCTGTTCTCACCTCCCACCCAGATGGCTCCATATGGAGACACCTCTGTGTCTACCTCAGAGGTGGCTGACTATGTGACTGATCTCCTGTCCCAGGTCCCCAGAGTCCCAAATGGCCCAGCCTACCTCTCTTCACTCAGTCATTTTGCTTTGGTGAATGTGGTTGATCTCAGCATCACATCCCTGCTCAGTTCTGCTCTGTGCAGAGTTATTACTGCCTTCCCCTCCCCCCTGGGACAGAGTGCTGTATTGTTGTTATTTTAATTCCAAAAGCTCAAAGAATAATCCAAATCTGGGAAAGGGTTATCTGCATCTCCCAAGAGTGATAGGATAAGACCAGGCCTAGTGGCTCATGCCTGTAATCCCAGATACTCAAGCAGTGGCGATCTGGAGAATTGAGGTTCTAGGCCAGCCTGGATGAAGACCCATCTTAATTAATAAGCTGAGTTAATACGCTTAATTAATATGCTCCCATCTACAAGGGAGTCTGTTGAGAGGTTGGTCTTTGCAACAACTCAAGACTCCAGCTTTTGTGCTTAGGTGTTGCTTTTTTGGGGATAGGGCCTCACTTTTCACCCAGGTTAGTCTAGGCCACAATCGTATTTATGCATCCCTTATAGCTGAGAAAGAAGTTGTGCCCCACCACGCTTAGCTATTGGTTCAGATGATGTTTCACAAAGTTTTTGCCTGGGCTGGCCTTGAACCACGATCCTCCTGACCTTTACTCATGAGTAGCTAGGACTACAGATGTGAGCCACTGTGCCTGGCTTGAGGTCTCCTTTTTAAAATCATGTAATAGTGACTTTGAATTCTACATAAAAGTGTGGGCACTGTGGCAAGTGAAGAAACGAGCCTGGGGTAGCTCCACAGCAGGGGGCTGTACTGGGCATCCTTATTCCCGCATGTTTCCACCTGTACTTTAACCTAGATGACGCCAGAGGAAGGCACCAAAAAAAGATCCGAAGCAAAACACAGAATTACCTCAACCTGTACGCCGTGGAAGGCTTGCGCACCCTGTGCATTGCCAAGAGGGTGAGTGTAGGCCGCCTCACTGAGATTGCCCTCTGGCGACCCACTGTTTGCAGCACCTGGCACAGCACTCAACAGTGTGTCTTCCATAGGTTCTGAGCAAAGAAGAGTATGCTTGTTGGTTGCAAAGCCACTTAGAAGCAGAGTCAGCTGTGGACAACCGAGAGGAGCTTCTCTTCCAGTCTGCCATCCGCCTGGAGACCAGTCTGCAGCTCTTGGGTAATTACTCTTTCCAGCTGTGAAAGCAGTGAGTTTGAGACAGTTCTGGTGTGGGTGGCGACCCGGCTCCGTCGCAGGCTGCTCTGTGTGCTGTGGGCTTGGCTAGGTTTGGTTAAGGAACTACCTGACCTGATGATAGCTTGGACTCCCAGTCTGGACAGTCTTTGATTGAGCAAAGGGACCATTTCTAGGGGATGCATATGTAGTAGACATCCCCCCCAGGAAGTCTCCTTTCCCCCACCTAAACTCAGATTTTCCTTCAAAAATAGAAATGAGTAAGCCTTGACAATTAGCGGTTGAAAGCATTTCAACCCGCCAGCAAAGCAAGGGAAACGGTGGTGCCTTAGAAGCCGCTGCTTTCTGCCTCTGATGAATATTTCAGATTCATATGAGATGAATCTCGTTTTTACTAAAATGTGCTCATACTGCCTTCTGTATTTCTATTTCTATTCTATTTACCGAATCCTGATTGCTATTAGTCATAAATTAGGGTATTAGTACTTCTCTCCTTACTTTAATTTTTAATTTAGTATTTAAAATACTTAATGTCGTATTTTCTGAGGGAGTGAATAAATTAGCAGAGTCTTCAGACACGTGGACAGTGTGGCTGGCTGTGTCCTCGCAGAGGAACTGGTGTGACGGTATCGTGCAGCGTCCGCATCTGGAGATGCTCGTCACACCCTGCTCCTGCATAAAGCTCCAGAGCGTTCTCTTCACTCGCTTTACTCACTTGTGCTCATTCCCTGGGCAAAGGAGTTAGAAATCTATATTTCTATGTATATGGATCTAATATAATATGTATTTGATATTGGTTAATATTTAATAGCAAAAGGTGCCGCAGACATAATGAATGCTCACACACGCTCATAGAATATTCCATTTTGCCCACCGTGTCTCATAGGAGACCATGTGCTACTCAGAAGGCCCAGGATCCACAGGCCCAGCTGTGTAATGAGCAGTGCCCCTGGGGGTGAATGAAATGAGCGTTCTCAAAAGAGACTGTGCCTGTTTTAAGCAAGCCAGTTTTGATTGACTGAACTAGGACTGCTTTCATTAGAATGCGCTTCCCACCGGGTGCTGGTGGCTCACGCCTGTAATCCTAGCTGCTCAGGAGGCAGAGATCAGGAGGATCGAGTTTCGAAGCCAGCCCACTCAAATAGTTCCTGAGATTTTATCTCAAAAATACCCATCATAAAAAAGGGCTGGCGGAGTGGCTCAAGTGGTAGTGCGCTGGCCTGAGGGACAGGAGGGATGGACCTCCTGCTTGTTCCCCTGGACCACCTGCCCTGCCTCTCTGATTCCCTACCTGTGGGCACTCTCCCACCCCAGAGTGGGGGGGCAGTTTTCCCACTGGACAGTGGTAACTCCTCAAATGGAGTGAAATTTGCCTCTTGATGGGCACGGGCCCCACTCTGGAGCAGTGTGGACACAATCTCCCCGTTTCCACATTGTGAGTGATCTTAGTTGTGGGAGGGCACGGCTGTGGACTGCTGCCATTCTCTGCCAGTCCTTTTCTCAGTCTAGCAGCCCTGGCTCATTGTCCATCCTCAGCTAAGTCACTAACTGACCATGAGGGCTGGGGCAAGCAGCTACATCGTTTTTGATTTGTTTTTTCATCTGCCTTGTGGAGAGTAATCGAAAATCAGCAGCCTCCGGTGCAGGTGGAAGAAGGGGGTGCCATGAATCGCTGAGCATGGTTTGGGCTCATGGCCCAGCATTCAGTCACTGGTGTGGTAATGAACTCATGTTATTGTGTCTTCACTTGGGACAGCGTGGCTGGCCCCTTCTCTACAGACTATCTGGCAGCTGGGCATCCATCACCTCCCTTGGCCCATGTGCTTTATCTCTCTTAATATGTCCTAAATTTGGAACAGCCCTAGTGTGCCCTAGGCTTATACTAAGCTTGAGGTCAACTCACCTATCTATACCTCTTGCTCTTTGCATAAACTGGCTGGAGTTTCACACAGCCTTTTGATACTGTGTCAGTAGATTGTAATCAGCTGGAGTGGGAGTTTTCACACCACATAAACAAGCAAAGCAAACACATCAGCCCCCTCTCACAAGTCAGTTATCAACCACTTACGATGTGATATACTTTTGGGGTTGTTTGTTTGAGACAAGATCTCAGCCCTTGCTGGCTTAGAACTCACAATCTTCCTGTTTTAACCTCCTAAGTGCTGGGATTATAGGTTTCCCTATCACACACATAAATATATAAAGCATATATTTATGCTTTAAATGACAAGGCCTGAGCTGGAAAATGCACAATCCACCTACCACTTATTGTTCTCCACACTCGATCCACAGCTGGGGAGTTTGGGGCACTGTGTTCCAACTCCTGAGCTTCATCTTTGAGAAGATGAAGTAAGCCATTTCTATTTTTCATATTCCACAGCCAAAGATCTCTTTCATCGAGGTGCTCATGTTAAGTGGCCTCAGAGAACTACAGATAATTATCCTCAGCAGGAAGGATCACCATTCACACTGTGCTCTTCAAATTTTCTTTTCCTTAACATTCTGGCCAAGAACCCAAATTCGAAAGACAGTGTTCTCCTCATTTTCCCCAGTGTTCTTCTTTTTTTCTCTAACTGCCATGTGAAACTTCCCCCTGGTGGCATCCTTTCCCCTTGCAGTAAAGCTGCCTGACACCCAAGCCGCAGTGGTGCATGCTGGGAATAGCTTAGCTTTGAACTCTGCCAACCTCCCGTGTTAGGATACTCAGAAACGCCATGCCCTCCCAAGGGTCAGGACACAATGAAAGCAGCATTTAGTCAAAGTCACATAAATTATATTACAGACAAGCTACCTTAGGAGACTTCTGCTCACTGTTCCAAACCTGTAATATTTCATTCTGAGGTAGGTAGACTTTCCACAACTCTAAGCTTAATACTATTCTGTGCTGAATTCAGACCTGCAGGTTATTTTTTTTTTCTTTTTGGTGGCACTGGGGTTTGAATTCTGGGATTTACACTTGCTAGACAGGCACTCTTACCGCTTGAGCTACTCCACCAGCCTGCAGGTTATATAGGTGAGGTCAGGTGAGTGACCCAGGAGGTTATAGGTTATAAAGGAAGTTCCAGTTTTTAAGGTGTTAGGTTTTTCCTGAAAAGATGCAGGCTCCCCACCAGCAGGCAGGTTACTCTGCTCTCTTTCTTGTAGACATTTTACTGGGTATCTGTGGCTAAGATACAAAGGTGGGAGTCACAGGCTCTTTCTGCAGGAAGTTGATGTCTACTTTCTATCACTAGAACAAAATACCTGAGATAATCAACTTACGAGGAAGGTAAGTTTATTTAAGGCTCACTATTTCAGAGGTGTCAGACTGTGGTCAGTTGGCCCATGGCTTTTGGACCTGTAGTGAGGCAGTGTTCATTGTGATAGAAGCAGGTGCAGAGGATGCTGCTGTCCTCAGGGTAGCCAGGAAATGAAAGAGAAAAATGGGAAGGGGCTGGGTTCCAATATCCACTTTGACAGCACGCCCTCAGTGGCCTCATTTCCTCCCTCTAGGCCTCACTTCCTAAAGGCTCCACCACTTCGCAGTCACACCACAGGCCTCTAACATGTAGGCCTTTAGGGGACAATCAAGATCCAAACTATCACAAGCTATATGCCCAGCCCTGCAGTAGAAGCGCTATCCCAGCTTCCAGTAATCCTCAAGGTTAGCCATTGTCATCATCATTCCACAGTCATCATACTTATCATCAGATACAAGCGAGAGACTGTGAACACATGGAGGCAAGTGCAGTTGTCCCTTTCTCAGTACCCAGCTGTGAAGGAACATGTCACAGAAGAAGTGGTACTTAACATGAGCTGGAGACCCAGAGCCGAGGGTAGAGAGGCAAGGCCAGACACCCTCAGCGAGCACAGAACATAACATGTGGCCTCATGCAGGGGGAGTCTTAACTCCTACTCCTGCCCACTCTCCTGCCTGTAGGGACTCTGTGGTCTTACGATTCAGAGTACAGCTTTGGTGAAATGTCTTCTTTCTTGGCCTTCTCAAGTTCCCACTTAGCCTTCCAGTACATTCTTCAAGTGGGATCCAGTTCTGACTCACCATACCAGCTGCACGACGCTAGAAGCGAGTCCAGCCTTAGGTCCCTGGAGAGGTTTCGGTGGTGTGGGGAGGGGGTGGGGTTGGAGAGGGAAGATGACTGATGATGCTCTTCTTCCTGTGCTCAGGGCTGGTTACACAGGTATGTGATTTCTGAAAGTAAACACATCTTATCCAAATTGCATGCTTCTTTATTTGTATTCTATGCCTTGATGCCATCATCTCTTCTCCATGCCTGCCATCTTTTTCCTTCTAGGAGAAGGGGAAGGGAGCCCTCAGCTGATTTGTATTTTTGTCTAAACCACCATAGATTGGGTAACTTAAACATTTACTTCCCATACTTCTGGGTGCTAGAAGTCCAAGATCAAGGCATGACAGATCCATTATCTGTGGAGGGTCACATCCTTGTGTGCAAATGACTGCCTCCGTGCTGTGACCTGACATATCAGAGAGAGCTCATTAATGTCCTGTTAGGCCACTATCCCCATCCGGGACTCCCTCCCTCACTGCCTCATCCCAACACTTACCACGTTGTGAGTTAGGGCTTCGCTCTGTGACTCTGGGGGCAGGTGGATACGTTGGGAACGGGACGCACGGCTAAACATGAAGTTCATTTGTCATGCACTGGGCACCTTATACCAAGGGTCTAAGGATAATTTTACCCCATGTTTTTAGCACACCTGCATTTTGACTGCAACCTGTCATGTGACGCCAGGTGTGGCATTGTATCCGCACTCAAACAGTTTCAGATTTTGGAAAACTTCAGATTTCAGATTTTGCTGGTTAGGGATGCTCAACCTTACTAACATAGTAAGACTCACAAAGATGCCCACCTCGTGGGTTCTTTATGTCTGTAGAAAGAGCAATATTAAGAATAATGCTGCTTTGAAGATATATGGTCTGTCTGCAACATTTGTTTTTTGGGTTGTTGTTGTTTCAGTTTTTATTTTTCTTATTCTTTACTTTTTATTGCGCGGGGGCGGTAATTGTGGCATTTACAAAAGTTCTTACAATATATCAAACATATCATACTTGAATTCCACCCCTTCCATCATTATCCTTTAGGCCCCCTCCCCCCATTCCTGGAATAGTTTCAGCAGGTCTCATTTTGCCATTTACAAACATGCATCCTCAGTATTTACACTGTATTCACCACCTACACCTTTCCCCACCTCCTCCCCCTCCCACTGCCACCAACCCTGTTTTCAATAACAAGTGTTTTCAAGAGCAAACATTGTCAATGTCTATACCACAGGGCTTCCATGGGTTGGGTTAATTTCTAGGACATTTTTATCTCTCAGAATGTGGTCATTCCCACCACTTCCCACAAACTTTGTGTTCGTTACTCAGAAAGAATTAGAGGTACTTGGTGGTGAGTGCATGTAATCGCACTCACTGACTCTCACTTATTCCTCCTACACGTTCTTGACTGAGTCACACCAACAGCCGTGGAAAGTGTCCACACTGCTCTGAAACGGTGACTCATCAAAGAGTGCTTCCACATGGGACTTCCTAAAGGGGTAACTGAGCCCCAAGCAAATTCTAGTCAATAAGGGCTGTGCCACACCTGTCTTTGGGACAAACACCTGTGTTTGGTGCATGGCATTTGGGACCCATCAGAAGTTGGGGCCTGTGAGGAAGGGGGCTCACTCACACTGCTGTAAATTTAACCAGGTGCTACTGGGATTGAAGACCGCCTGCAGGATGGAGTCCCCGAAACCATCGCTAAATTGCGGCAAGCAGGCCTGCAGATTTGGGTTCTCACAGGTGACAAACAAGAAACAGCCATTAACATCGCATATGCCTGCAAACTGCTGGACCATGGCGAGGAAGTCATCACCCTGAATGCCGAATCCCAGGTGGGTGGATTTCAGGGAGGCTGGGGACCCCACAACAGACCCTGTTGGAAGGCCATCTGGCGACTGCTGTGAGCAGGACCTTTGCCCACACATCCCTCTCAGCACTTGCGGGTGTTTCTGGAACTTAAGGCATGTTTGTCATTGCCTTAAACGATGTGGAATTTGCTGGAGTTTCTTAGGACCAAAGGAATGCACAGCTGGGCTTTACTAATGCAAAGTTCATCCCCTATTTCCTGACATACTACCCAAGTCCGAGCATTTTTATTCATGAGGTCACATGTGTCTGAAAAATGGAGCCAGGGCAGTGACCCATTTAGCACTGACTTCCTGTGGATCACCAGCTGTCTGTGAATGACCCAACAGGCACTAAGCATTTTTGTGGTAATGTCACATTTTATCTGTTTAAATCCCCAAATATGTAGGGAATATCTCCTTCATGTACTACCCCGATCTAGGCTCTGATTTCAGCCATGACCTCCACTCAAAATACCTCCTGGGCCTGGCTCACAGGCTTGTGATGGAGCAGGGAACCTTGCTCCTGTGTCTGTGCTGCGGGATCTCAAGCTGAGATACGGGACACTGAGGCAGATTAGCAGGGAGCAACGTTTATTGAGCCGGCACAGACCCAGTGGACTCATGTCCAAAGAGTGAGCCCCGAGAACAAAGCGGTCTCACCTTACATACCCTTGCAGGCAGGTTACAGAAGCCAAAAGCAAAGCTCAGCCCACATAACCCCAGTGCTGTGTGACCTTCTTCATGTTTCAGTTTTTTAAGTTTTATTTGTCTGTTATGCCATCCCTTCCCCCTGCCTCATTATCAGAACACAGACTTGTCTGTTTCTTTTTTTTTTTTTTTGTCTGTTTCACCCTACTACATCTAAGTGGTCAAAGCCACACAGCATCTGTGGGGCTCACACTCAATTTACCCATTCCTTTTGAGTTCCACACCCAGACAACCGTCCAGACCTCAGGACACTGCCACTGAGAGCCATTTGTTGATAGTATTTCCTTATTATCTCTGTATATTTGTGGGATCTGTAGTAACACCTTCTTTTGTTTGTGGTTTTGGTAATTTGAGGGATTTTTGTTGTTGTGTTGCAGTACTCGGGGTTGAATTCAGGGCCTTGCACTTGGTAAGCAAATGCTCTACCACTTGAGTTATGCCCCCAGTCCATTTGCTTTTAGTTTGCTAACTTTTGCCCAGGATGCCCTTAAATCCAGACCCCCCTATCTCCTCCTGAGTATCCGGAATTATAGGCATGTACCACCATACTCAGCCCTTTTGGTCAGTTTTGATAGCAGTATATCAATTATATTGGCCTTTTCAAAGAACAGCATTTTGTTTTCAGTGCTGATTTTTTTCCTCTACTTTTGTTTTGTTTTCAATTTTATTGATATCAGCGCTCACCTTCATTATTTCCTTCTTTTTTTGCTTGGTTTCCTTTTATTTTCCTCTCTAGTTTCTCAAAATAGAATCATGTTACTAATTAAAGAACATTTTTCTTTCTGGCATAAGCAACACATGCTACAGTTGTTCTTCTAAGCTGTTTATTTGCATCAGGCAATTTTGTATCACCTCTCACAATCACTATTCTGTATGCTTTCATTCCCATGCAGCTCATGGAGGTTCTTCAAAGTTTTCCTTAAGGATTCTTGGTTGGCGCATGGATTGTTTTGAAGTGCTTTATTTCAATTTCCAAGTGTGTGAAGGTTTTCCTGTTGTCTTTTCTGTTATGGGTTTCTAGTTTAATTCCATTATGGTTAGAAAACATGCACTTTGTGAATTCCTTTTTTTCTCTCTCTTTTTGGTGGGACTGGGTTTAAACTCAGGGCTTCATGCTTGCAATGCAAGCACTCTACTCCTTGAGCCACACCTCCAGTCCATTTTGCCCTGGTTATTTTGGAGGTCCAGTCTGGCCTTAAACCATACTCTTCCTGATCTCAGTCCCCCAAGTAGCTAGGATTATAGGCCTGAGTCACTGGTACCTGGCTCATTTTGTGATTTCAGTTTGTTGGCATTTATTAAACTTTGTTTGTTTTTTAATGACCCAGGGTATGGTCTTTCTTGGTGAATGTTCGGGTGCACCTGGAAAGAATGTGCATAATGCAATTCGTATGTGTTAGGGACACACACGAACTTTCCAGATTTCCTTGTGTCATGATTTTTCATTTGTCTAAAGAACTTCCTTCAGAGTAGATCTACTGACAATGACAAATCAGAAAATGCCTTTATTTCACCTTTCTTCCGGAAGGGTATTTTCACTGAATATAAAAGATTGAAACAGCATTTCTTTTCTTTCAAAACCTAAACATATTCTGCTTCCTTCTAGACACCATGGCTTCTCAGAAGAAATACAGTTATTTGAATCATTCTTACCCTATAACTAATGAATTGTTTTAGCTTGATGGTTGTTGGGGTTTTTTCTTGTCTTTCATTTTAAGCAGTTTGATCATGATGTGTTTGAGCAATGCGTTTGGAGTACATTGAGTTTTTTTTTTTTTTCGTGTTGTGTCTTTTCTGCCACTAAGCCTATTCAGTGTGTGTGTTTTCTTTTTTTAATAAACTTCATACATCGAATGGTTTTAGATTTATAGAAAAATTGGGAAGATGGTACAGAGTGACAGAGCATTCTCATAACCACACCCAGTTTCTCCCCTGGCTGACACCTTCCAGGAGCGTAGTTTATGTGTGTTCATAAACCAATATGGGTACATTGTCTAGGTCCCTACCTGTTGTCACTTTTCTGTTCCAGGATCTCATGTTACATTTATTCATCATGTCTCCCTAGGTTCTTCTTGATCATGACATTTCTCACACTTTCTTTGTCTTTGATGAACTTGACAGTTTTAAAGAAGTGCTGGTGAGGTAGTTTAGAGAATGTCCTGATATTGGAATTCGTGTGATGTTTTTCTTAAGACTGGAGTAGAGTAATGGATCTGGGGGAGAAAGAGCAGGGACTTCAAGTGCCACTTTCATCACATCATATCAACATGACATCACTGTTGATGTTGACCTGGCATCCGTCAGGGTCATCCACTGGAAACTATTTTTTGTGTTTTTCTGCTCTTTTCCGTGCTGAACTCTTTGTGAGGAGTCACTGTGCAGAACTTATACTTACGGGGTATGGGGCTGTAGTGCAGAGTAGCAACAAAAATCATCTAGAATTCAGTGCACTTTTTATGTTGGTTACTGCAGTTTGGGTTCTAAGATTACTCCATGTTCCTTCTATAGATTGTCTACTTTTTTTGCTGGGAATTTCTGTTTTTTCTATCCATTTCCAGAATGTTCACGCTTACTTCTTAGAACATATTTATAATGGCTGCTTTTAAATGTTTGTCAGATAGTTCTAGTGTCTGTGTCATCCTGTCAGTTGCCTTTCTGTACATAAGCTGAGATTTTCCTGGTTCTTTGTTCTCTGAGAAGCTTTCAGTTGTATCACAGGCATTTTGAATTTTATGTTATAACCCTCTTGCCATTTTTAATTTCAGTGGAAGATAAGGAGTTTTTGAAGCACTTGATCAACTCTGTTGGGTTTGGTCCACACCTCTGAACAGCCTCTGGGTGTGGTTTTAGTGGCAGGCAGATTTGTTTAGCCTTTGTGCATGCTCAGCATTTCTGCCCTCCAGAAGTCAGATAGGAACTTGGGTGGCAGTCTGTGCCAGTTTAATTCTCGAGGGTGCTGTTATACATTTAGGATTGTGCCCTGTGTACTCATCTTACAATACTATAGGGTCAGTTAGCCAAGCTCCTTCCTCTTTATAGTATTTCTGGTACCCTAGGAAACCCTTTCAGTCCTCTGGAAAGAAGGCTGGGGTTTGAGTTAGCTCCCTCCGCCTCATTGCCCACATCTCCACCTTCATCCAAGGCCAGGTGGAAGCAGGACAGAGAGAGTAAGAGCAATGGGCCTTGTTCTCTCTTGACACTATAGCTCCCATGATAAGAAAGGAAGGCTCGTCTTCCTCTGAGTTCTTGGAAGCAGGTGGTCCTGCTGACATACCGTTTGTGACTCCACCACCACAGCAAAATCACTGGGGCTGGGTTCAGGAAACGAGAGGAAAATAATAAAAGTAGAGCTCTCATCCACCTTCTCTAAGCTTTGGAGGTTCCTTCCCTACTCCTTCATGAAGCCAAAGCTAGAGGACTTCTCCTGGCACCCACTCTAGCTTCCTTGATCCTTGGGCCATTCCAGAGACTAACATAGTAAAAAATGGAAAACTTATCATCTGTTCAGTGTCCTTGGCATGCTGGTCTTTTGCCCAATCTGACCGCTACCCTTTTCTTCAGAGTCACAAATAGTTGCTTTGTGCATTCTGTCTAGATAGCTCCACTGTGCTCTTCAAGGCAGAGCCATTACTAGCTTTTGTCAGTGCTTGGACCAGGGACCTCATGGGGTTACTGTATCCACATTCTCCTCAGAGCCTACCCCACTTGACACCATATCCCTTTCCTCATCCTGGGAGCACATTTCTCCATCTCCATCAACAGATTTGCATATCCCCATCTTTGACTTGCTGTGGTCATAAGAGAGGGTGTGTCCAGCTTCCTGCCTCTCATTCCAAGGGTGAGAGTCTTTTCAGTCTTCTTTCTTCCAGTGTCACTTAATTTTTTGAATACAAAAGTTTCTTTAACTGTTGGTTATACACAACTAGACTTTCATGGTGCATTGCAGGGAACTGGTTGCTAAGCCAGCGGCTCACTGTCTGTAGAGGACCAGAAGCCACTCCCCAGGTGTGTTTGCTTCCAGAAATAGTCATTCCTCCTTGGCCTCTGGCTCTGTCCTAGATCCCTAATACTTTTCCGTGTCACTGGAATTTTCGAAGGGCGTGGCCAGTGAAACGCCTCTGTAATTTTATGCTTTATTTCTTCTTTTCCTGGTAGAATTGGAGATTTTAGAAAGGACTTCGATGATTACAGTTCTTTCAACAAAGGCTTTGAAAAACCTTTGTGCTCCACTGTTGGTACCTCAAAAGGAAACAAGAAGGGGTACATAAGAGACTCAGAACTGTAGAGACGTGGGGATAGGGCTCCTTCAGCCTAACCAGCCACAGTGTAGTGACAATTACAGCCACGCCTCCTCAGGTGAAGATGTTCCATTCCTACTTCTGCACTATAACACGGGTAATAAGTTCAATCTTGTAGAGACCTATTTCTTTCTCTTCTATGCAGAAAGTCATCCTCTTAAGCTGAACTTCAGTTTCTGGGGGGCAGCAAGACACTGCAGCCTGATGCCCTAAAAGGACATAAGCTCAGAGGTTTTGAGGCAGGTGGCCAGGGTCTGTGGCGTGACCCTGAGTGAATCTTACTATCTTCTCATGTCTGTTTCAGGAAGCATGTGCAGCCCTGCTGGACCAGTGCCTCCACTACGTGCAGTCAAGGGGCCCTCCCAGCACCCCTGAGAACACCAAAGGCAATGTGAGCGTGGGGTTCTCCCCTCTCCACCAAGCCTCCATGTCCACAGCCTCGGAGCCCAGCCCAAGCCTCGTGATCGACGGAAGAAGTCTGGCCTATGCCCTGGAGAAAAACCTGGAGGACAAATTTCTCTTCCTTGCCAAGAAGTGCCGCTCTGTCCTCTGTTGTCGGTCAACCCCTTTGCAAAAGAGCATGGTGGTTAAGCTAGTTAGAAGCAAGCTCAAGGCCATGACCCTGGCCATAGGCAAGTATCCAGGCCAACTAGGTAGGGCCTGACCTGTCTTGTTCAGCTGCTTCTTCCAATGCAACCTGAATTTCTGACACCTTTCCATGCAATATCATAAAATGAGGAAGTGGAAAAAAAACAACTTTCTCACCTGTTTTGTTCTTGTCCATTTACAAAACCATTCCCAGTGTCAACAAAGTGGGTAGTATGCTTTAGATACAAAGCTTAATTGGAAAGCCACAAAATATAGTAGCAGGTTCACGCAATATTAAGAGGTCAGTAACAGTGATAATTTAAGAAGACAAGACAGAGCATATGCTATTTTTGGGGAAATAGGACATTAGAGACCTGCCTGTCCCAGACAGTCCTGGCTGCAGTGAAGGGTCTGTGCGCTCAGCATCACCTCAGGCTGCCTTAGAACAAAGCTCCTTTGCCAGGGCCATGAGTCACTTGTGCCTCCTGGAGTCTGAAGCTTTATGAAGCTGTTAGCACCCAGAGATGGTGACCATCAGATTCCCTATGACCCCTTGTCAGCTGGACTTTGCTGATTGTGCTGAGATATGAGCATCTCAGTAAAAAGTTCCATTCTAAGATATTACATGATTTTACTTCATCTACTTAAGGGCAGTTTATCTAACGGTGTTTTTCCTTTCTGGCATTATTGGCTGGAGAGCCTTCTAGAGTCTCTACTGAGACATGGTGATCACTTACCTCCCAGAGCAGCATCTCTACCCACTTCTCCATCAGGTGGATTCTCTAGCACAGGCTTGTGGGTTCCACAGTGCTACCTCCTGGTTAGATCAGAAGATGACAGCCAAGATGCCAACAGTAAATATAGTCCACACCTAGTTGAAAGTTGGCTCTTAGATAAAGTACCCTCACAATCAGTCAACCACTAATAATTCTGGCATTTTCTGCAGGAAGTCTATGATAGTCACTCCTTGTGGAGGTAGGGATTGCTACCCTGTCATCTTAGGCACCGCTCCTGGTAAAAGGAGACCAATTTTACACCTGAGTCCTTGGTTTGGGTGAAGAGAGAGATCCCTGGTCCAAGTGTGGTTGTCATGCAGACAGGACCCTGCACACCCTATTCAGTGGTATCCACTAAGGAGACTACACAGATGCGTGCAGGACACCATCTGTGGGAGACACAGAAAAGTATTCCCCATACCCCTATGGTCCAAGCTGCAAGAAGACAGGCCACTCCTCCAGGGATGAGCTCCTCCCAGGACAGGCTGCACTTGGGCCATGTTTGCCTTCGCGGGCTTAAAGTGCCCTTCCGGGTTCTCAAAGGAACTGCGGGATCTGCAGTTTGGGTCTGTGCCACTCACTGCCCACCCCCTTCCTATGCACTTGACTGTCCTCACAGGGAACATGAGACTTGCCTCGAAGCTGGAGAGCAGTGTGAATGGCAATTACACCCTCACAGCCTAGTCAGTGCCTGGCTCAGCCAATTAGTTACTGGTATCTGGTATTTGTTTTAAGAAACAGAAGTAAACCTGGGCTAGACTTTCTTTGAAAACATAAATAGAATCTCAGAAGGGAAAGGGAAGGTAATTACTGTGAGAGCTTGCTAGCTCAGTCCTTGGTCCATGTGAGTGATTCCTAGGTACCCTGCAGTTTGTACTGACGTAGATGCAGAAATATGGAGAGCATCACAGTGTACCATGACTCATTCGCAATGGGGCATTCCGGAAACGCTGTAGAAATTTTTGTTGACTCACAAAATTTCAATTCTGATCACCTGTGTTTGGCTTAACCCAATAAAGAGCAGAAAAATCACAAGAAAGAGACATTCTTGTGGCCATGTTATGAGTGATACACTCTGACTTTGTACCTGCACCTTTTGTCATTTGTTCAGCTTAGGATGTACACTGTGATTAGGGAGGTTCTAATGCCCAATTCCAATTCCACTGCGATAGTGACATTATATCTCTGCTTGCCTTTCCCTGAAGATGACACTTCAGGGAAATACTTGACTTGTCACTGTATTCCTTAATATTTGTCTGTCAGCAGCTTGACAGGATAACTAGAAATCCTCCTTTATTGCACTCTAAGAGGGCCCAAAGGTATGTCCATTTGATAATAAAAGAGCTCTGTTTTTGCTGGGCAGAATTTAGCCTCTTTGATTTCATTTAGAAAACTGCTCAGGTGGATATGAATCAGAGTAGCCTTGGCTACTTCTTCATTTGTGCTGGACACCATGTTAAGATCTTTGTGTAGAAGCCAACAATGTAGAGGGACACTGAATAATAAGGTGACTCTGCCCCACTGCTTTCTGGGACATTTCTGGTGTCATTGGCAGTTCCAGGTGACATACCATGGTTTATCCAACTGCTTATCTCAGTTCTCCCAGGGAAAGAGGCTTTACTGTGATTTTCCTTGTGACTTTCATAGGACCCAGTCTAGTGGGGACATCAAGGTAATCCATCATGTCCATTTGATTGTATGCAACTCAATTTAGGATTATTCTTGCCTCTGCTGTTTCTAGGTGATGGAGCCAATGATGTCAGCATGATCCAGGTGGCAGATGTAGGTGTGGGGATCTCGGGCCAGGAGGGCATGCAGGTAAAGACCCATCGGGCTGTCTTCTGTGACCAGGTGGTCCTCGTTGGTCTCATCTGGTCATACTTCAAACTGTACCAGATTTGCTGTGGGCTGTCTGACAAAACTAAGGAATATGCCTTTGATATGACGAATGTTCACCTTCTGCTAAGCCAGCAGTAGAAGATAAGGTGGAATGTCACTCTCTGAATTTACAAAGCAATGTGTAATAAGCATCTCTGTCTGTCTACACAAGTATATTTTGGGGAGATCAGGTTCAGAGAGAGGCAAGGTGACTCATTGCCTACTTGCTGGCTGTTGATAGCTCTTCACTGGGAAGCAATTTTTGTTTACTATTCCTAACCACTTGCTATGCCTTGTGAAAACTGCCTTTGCTGAGGCACTGTTGGAATCTTGACTCACATTTCTCATCTGTCACTATGTCTGTTCTGGATATTCCAAAAATTGAGCACAAGCTAATTAAAAATGAGCTTCCTTTAGATGTCATATTATAGCTTCCAACATTTGATCAAGTTTGAGTCAACATTTGTTTTTTAACCTGCCGGAAACTTTAGGGAACAATTTATTCCGTGTTTTTCTAAAAACCAGGATATTGGTCACCATTTATTCATTTGGTGATTCATTCACTCATCCGTGTTTGATTAGTAAATATTTATTAAGCACTTACTATGTACCTGGGCAGAGATTGTTAACCATCCTACTTGGTGTTAAATAAGTCAGATGGTAGGTAGGTCCCCAGCCAGAAGCACATATAGCCATCCTTCAGCATCCCTGGGGAACTGTATCCAGGACCCTGTGGACAACAAGACCCACACATACATTTACATAAAATTGTATAATATTTGCACATACCTACACTTGTCCTTGCATACACTTTGGCAGTACGAGAGTTTTGAACTTGGGGTCTCCTGCTTGCTAGGCAAGCATTCTCTTAAGGTACACCTCCAGACATTTTTTGCTTTCAGTCATTTTTCAAATAAGGCTTCAAGCTTTTCCTTGAAGCCTCAGGGAATTTCCTACCTCCCTCAATCCTCTTAGTTTCCTCCACCACCCAAGTAGCTGGGATTACAGGCATGCACCACTTCTCAGCTTGTTTTTTAAGGTAGGACTCACTTATTTTTTGCCTGGGCTGGCCTCGAACTGCTATCTCCTATCTCTGCTTCCCAAGAAGTTGGTATTATAGACATGAACTATCATGTCCTGCCCCTCTCATACTTTTAATCATCTCTAGATTAAACAGTTGTTACACTGTATTGTTTGCTTAGGGAATAATGACAAGAAAAAATCTGTACATTTTCAATATAGATACAAATTTGTTTTCCAAGTATTTTCCATCCACAGTTGTTTGAATCTGCATTTGCAGTCCCACAGAGATGGAGGTCTGAGTGTAAAAGATTAAAGTTTTAGATCATCAGTTTCCTGAACCAAATCTTAAGGACTTCAAAGCAAATGTCTCTTCCTGTTGCTATATAAGGGCTTAAAAGACTTTGTGTGTTTGTGAATTCTTTATTGATCCCATTATTCATTCTCTGAAAAATCGTTTATGAAGATGTCACTCTTGTTAGGCACAGACATAGAAACACAGAGAATACCAGACAGGATCCCCGTCCTCAGTGCAGTCAGTCTAAAAACTCGTTCAAAAAGGACAGTTGTTATAAAGGAGCTAGGGGTGTGGTTCAGTGGGATGGTGCTTGCCTATTATGCACAGTCCCCTGGGTTTGACCCCCAGCACTGCAAAAATAAACAAATAAACAATATAGACCTACAAGGTAAACCTCTATCCTGTTTTTAGAGATGAGCCCCCCTGAGGAAACCTGCCTGGTTCTCCAGCTTCTGCTCCTCCCATCCACCCCAAATCTAGCCCTAACACAATGCTTATCCCTCTCTCAAAGTGGATTTCACTACTCCCAGCTGACCTACCTATTCGGGAAATTCCATGACAGCCAGGACCATAGATGCGTTGTCACTCTGTATCTCTACTTCCCACTCAGGCCTTGGCTGTAGGGACTGCCTGTCCTATGATGTACCAGATGAACTCATGGAGACCAGGCATCTTGGGATGCAGGAGCGCTATTGTCCCTCTAGCTCCCTGCCAGGTTTGGCCTCTCCACCACAGCTGGACTGGCAAGATCCTATTTATCCAAGCTCAGCCCTGATGCCTGATGTCCCTGACATCACAGCAAAGGACTCAGCACAGTGTCCTTTCACTTTGTGGACTAAAATGCATGCAACAGGGTCATATTTACCTGGAAAACCTGAGCACTTAGAGCTATAAGAAGACCTGTCACCATCTTATACAATACAGCCTCAATAAAGAAATGTAGCTTTAAGTAAATATGGACGTGTTCAGAAACATCTCACTTAGAAGTTTCACCTGTTCTAAGTGGCATGTTAGGACACGCAGCCTGTAACTCAGCTCTGTCTAACACTGCTTGTGTAGCTCCAGTCACAGATCCCCACAGCCAGGGGCTGATGCATTTCCATCAGGAGGAGCAGTGGTGTCAGCCAGGTCCCCACCCAACACTAGAGCCTTTGATACCGAAGGTATTTACTTACTGAGGTTCTCCACATACGAGGTTTGACAGGCACCGTGCTGGTCAGCTTTCACTATGAGAAATAGTGAAAGTAGAGAGGCAAATCAAAAGTCAGAGCGCAGTAATCCTTCCATTCATTCAACAAGTTTCTTGAGCTTCTTCCATGTGCATGGTATCCTAATGAACCTTGTAAAGAGGCAAAGGGATGTCGAATATGGACTCCATTTTCAATTTCATGGTGGAAGAAATTTATGAGTAATATGACAGTGATTCAGGTCAGACAAAGGCAGGTGGTGCTGGGAAGAAATGAGAATGAGTCCCAAATAGAACTCAAATCCACCCTCTGTATTCACAGGCTCTGCACCTGCATATGCAAACAGCTGTGGATGGTAAATATTTGGGAACAAAATGCATCTGTACAGAATATATACAGATTCTTTTCATGTCATTATTCCTCAAAAGAACACAGCATAAAATCTATTTATTCTCCTCAGAAAACAACCCAAAATTCACACCTTGCAGCATGTCTAAATATTTATCTCTGATGCACATGAAAGAGGCAGATTTGGTTTATCTTTGGGATGATATCCAGGGTATTATTTAGAAGGAAATATTATATGGAGCTGGAGAAAAGTAGGAAAACTTCACACAACTCTATGGTTTGTGAGCCAGTGGCTCACATCTGTAAGCCTAGCTACTCAGGAGGTAGACATCAGAAGGATCATGGTTCAAAGCCAGCCTGGGCAAATAGTTCCTTGAGACCCTGTCTCACAAAAAAGGGCTGGCAGAGTGGCTCAAGGTGTATGCCCTTAGTACTGCAAAAAAAAAAAAAAGTCACCTTGCTAAATCCACCCACTGTGTATCCATTACTTGAAGCTTTAAATGAGTGCTATATAGTGATACCCCTGAAAGTGTTTATTGATGGTAATTTTGTTTTGATTGTAAGAGATGTTAGGGGAGAGAAGGGTAGAGCCACGCTTTGAACACCATGTTCAAAGCTAGATTTTTTTCTTCTATGTTTTGCTCCATTTTGGAGGAGAGAAGACATACCTTATGCCAAATGAGGCATCTCTAATAACAGGTGTTCCTCTTCCTTTCAAGGCAGTGATGGCCAGCGACTTTGCACTGCCAAGATTCCGATACCTGGAGAAACTCTTAATTGTCCACGGGCACTGGTGCTACTCCCGTCTGGCCAACATGGTGCTGTATTTCTTCTACAAAAACACAGTAGGTATCAGACACTGGTTTTCAGAGTATTCTAGTTAAAAAGGCCTGAGATTTGTAGGACCATCACCTGAATGAGGCCGGCAGGCCACGCCAGGATCTCCCATCTGTGTCATCCTCCTTGGCTTCTGTGACTGTCCTGCAGTGCTAGTCTGGCATTGCATCCTTTAATCTAGAAACTAACTCATGGGCACCTAAGAGCACCTATATCTCTGAAGGGGAAAAGGTTGTGGGAATGGGCAGATAAGACCGGGATGTCTGTGTTTGACTTTATAGTGAGAAGTAGGGTAGCCATAAGGCCAGCAGTTTGCACAGGGTCATGCAGCTGGTAAGGCCATAGTTATACAGGACATCTGAGCCTGCTCCCAAGTTTTCAATTACTCTGCATGCATTTGTCAGGAAGATTCTGCTGCAGTGTCCACAACAAGACTGCTTTCTCTAGAGTGGACAGGAAGTTCGAAGGATAAGCAGAAGTGGGCCTGGTTGCTTAGTTATGCTATTGAATGGTGTCTGTCTGAGACACCATACTGGGACCGACCAACTGGGACCTAGCAGTCAAGAGGCTGCCACAGCCCCCTGGGCTTGCAGGTCATATGCGCCCCCTTCTGTCCAACTCAGTCTGTAGCTAAATCGACCCTCAAGTGAAATCTACATGGCCAGATTGGCTATGTACATTTTTATCTCTGTAGTAGCTTTGAATACAGGGCCCTGCCTGATCTGTCTCAGGTGGATCTTAACATTTAATTCCTTTGTACTAAGTCTTTTGGAAGCAGCCCTCTCCATAGCCCTGTAGAAGGGACCATTAGGCTATCCCAGAACTCCAACCCACTTATTAGAGACTTCTATGTACTCTGCTGAGAAGTTGCTGGATTGCTTCTCTTGGCTCTGCCTCTGATAGCTTGGAGCTGAATGAACCAGCAAGGAGACAAAGCAAATAAATTCTTGGGATAAATGGCCTTCCAGGTTAGTCCCATAAATCTAGCTGTCTAGACCAGAGCTCCAATGTCAAGATTATCCCATACTCTTCTGAAAAAGAATAAAATAAAATAATAGTGTAACCTTTTTTCTAATTCCATATGAAAATCCCCATGCTAACTCTAAATTGCCATGAAACACCTCTTGTTCATGTTCTTAACTGTTTGTTCTGGAGGCTGACACCTACCTTTCTGTTCAAACCTTTCCCACCCACTCACTCTCACTCCATTTTCAAAATGTCTTCTAGCAAATGGATACAGATGCTCAGAAACAATCAGGGCATGTCTAATTGGGTAGGTTTGGTCCTGGAAATTGATTCAAATTAGGTTTTTCCTGGGACTACATCCAAGGAAGGATAGGTTGTGCTGCTCCTGCCTTGCTACCTCATTCTTTCTTCTTTCCTATCCCTACCATCCTCAGCATGGTGAACATGTAATTGTAATCCTGGAGGCTTCCACCTTCCTAGGAGTGGATGACTGATTTGGGCTGGTCAAGATGGAATCCAGCCTCATTTCACTGATCTTAAGAAAGTTACAGTTGCCCCTCACTTTATGGTAGAGACATGTCATTCTGATAAACTCACACAAGCTGAAAATATCACAAGTTGAACCTGCATTTAATATACCTCCCCTACCTAACATCACAGTTTATAACACAGTACCCTGAAGAATATCAGCTGTCTCCACTCATGGTCTCATGGATTCAAAGCTACTGCCCAGCATTTCATAAGAAAATAGGACCATATAACCCTAGCCCAGACAAAGATCCAAATTCAAAATTTGAATTAAGGTTTCTTCTGAATGCATATCACTTTCATACCATCAAAAAGTAAAAAAATCACACCAGACCTGGTGGATCATGCCTGTAATCCCATCTCTTTGGGAGGTGGAGACCAGAAGATGGAGTTCAAAGGCCAGGCCAGGCAAAGTTAGCACAAGACTCTATCTGTAAAAACAAATTAAAAGCAAAAGGACTGGAGGCGTGGCTCAAGTGCTAGAGCCCTCGCCTAGTAAGTGCCAGACCCCGAGTTCAAAGCCTAGTTACAGAAAAAAAATCCTAAATCAAGTCATCATAAATTGGGGACCATTTATGTTTTTCCTTCCTTGGATTTGTTTTTAATCTTCAAAACCCTGAGATTTGAGCTATCTGGTCTGTGTAACTCCCAATTAAAATTTCTCAAATTGAGAGGGTGGTGAGGATGACATAGCAATCCATCCAACATTCTAGATATAAACAAAGACCACAATGGCCCTGGGATGGACAGCCTCCCACCTGCTATGATATAAGTGTGTCCTTTTTGGAGGCAGGGAAAGGAAGGAGGCACCTGTTTTTATTCCATGTAAGATGCAGGGCCTTTGATAACAAGCATTCATCCATGTGAGGAGTTCAAGGATAATCACACCTAACATGAGAGACTCATTAGTTTTAAGAATAAGTTGGCCTTCCTTTCCTGTAAAGGATGGAGAAAAACAGTTTCCATAGCAACATGGGTTTGAGAACAAAGCTCTTTGGTACTACAGGAAAAAAAAAAATCTCAATTATCTAAGTATTTTTCTTCCTCTTTCCCTCGATTCCATTTGCTCACCAGTGACTCATAAGGCTGAGCCTGTGGGGGAAAGTGAGAGAAAGTCAGCTGTGGGAGGAAGAAAGGGGAGAAAGTCAAAGAGAAGTCCAAGTTTGTCAGTTGTTGATGGGGGAAGTTGCATATTAGAGTTTTAATATCTCCCTCATTGAGGGAGATATTGACAAAGAGAAGCCTTCCTTCTGATCTTCAGAACAAACCATTTCAGGTCTAGAATCCAAAGATCAGACAGGTTACTGACTGAATCAAAGTGACTGAATCAAAACAAATAAGGTAGCTAGTTATAGCTTCAGAACCAAAACCCAGGCTTCATGGTGCCCAGAAGAGAACGTTTGTCCACTGTATCACATTTCCTTTTAGGACCGAACCTGTGCCCCAGGCCAAAACCCATTCGTGGGTTTGTTACTCATCCCATGACCATGGTCAAACCATTTCACCTCTTGGAACTTCAGTTTCCTTTTCTGTAGATGGTGATAACACCATCCATACTCAAGGGTCAAAAGAGAAAATATTGATGTTGCTAACACTAAAGAGCCCTGCTGTGTACCAGGAACTAAAAGCATTAGTTCCTTTAATCCCCATAATAATCCCATAGTTAAGTGTCACCAGAGTCCCCATGACATGGACAGAGATAGTGAGGCCAAGAGGGATGAAATGAACTATGTGAAGTTGCTCCCCTAACAAGTTTAAGAGAGTTTATCTTTGCATCAGTATAATGAAACACCTGACATAAACAATTTACAAGAAGGAAAGGTTTATTTCGGCACAGTGTCAGGGGTTTTAGTTAATGCTCACTTGGCCCTGCTGCCTTTGGCCTATGATCTGTGATGAGACCGCACATCACAGAAGGAGCCCATTATAAAACAGTGCTGCTTACCCCCATCATGGCCAGGAAGTGAAAGAGAGACAGGAAGAGGCTGGGTTCCCAATGTCCCTTTCAAGGGCATACCTCTGATGACCTACCTTTCTCCTACTAAGCTCTGCCTCAAAAGGTTCCTCCACCTCCAAATAGCACCACAAGCTGGAGACCAAGCCTTTAACACATGAGCCTGTTGGGCACATTTAAGATCCAAAGTATAGTACATTGCAGTTGCTAAACTGCCATAAACTATCCCACACAAATGCACTCAGGCTACTGATTCTCATGACCTAATAATAGTAGAAATCCTGCCCGACCTCACTCCCACTGGGTGTGGGCTTGAGGCTATTGAATCTCCCTGATTTTTGCTTTCCTATTGGGCAAAAGATGAATACTTAGAAGATCAGAGCTAACATACACACCTTCCAGCAGAGAGCCCGGAAGCCAGCGACCTAGGCTTAGTCCAGGCAGCAATGTTGTAATGCCATCATTGTCTTTGCTGTTGTGCTTTTATGTGTCTTCCTCTCAATGGGAATTGATAATTGTTCACTGCTCCTCACCAAAAAAGGCCAGGCATGGTGGTTCACATGTGTAATCCCAGCATTTAGGAGGCTGAGGCAGGAGGATTGTGAGTTCAAGCCAGCCTGGACTACATAAAAGGAGGGGAGGGTGAATAAGGAGGAGGGAGATGGGATCAGAGATGGAACCCCAGGCAAAGGACAGGGGTCCTAGTGAAGAAGCCAACAGCTCTCAAAATGTGAGCAACCTAGACCTCACTTAACCCTTGATTTTGTGATTTAAATTAATCATCTGTAGTTCTTCAGGCATAAAACCTCATGTATCCAAAGGCTGCACCTGGGAATTCCAAATGCCCACTGCCAGTCCCTGTGCTTAAGAAAATAAGGAGGTTGGAAGAAGAGGAGGTGGACAGGCAGAGGTCAACAGCAGGACTCAGGGCTCCCTTTGGAAGACATTGCTGCCTGTCCATTTACTTTACAGTAAAACCACTCAAGGCTCTTAGACCTCTTGGAAGAGAATCTGTAGGCCAGCTGAAGAACAGCCTGATCTTACTCATCCTTTCTGGGTTGCAGATGTTCGTGGGCCTCCTGTTTTGGTTCCAGTTTTACTGTGGCTTCTCTGCATCTGCCATGATTGACCAATGGTATCTGATCTTCTTTAATCTGCTCTTCTCGTCACTTCCCCAGCTTGTGACTGGGGTGTTGGACAAGGATGTCCCAGCCGAAGTGCTGATGCATGAGCCCCAGCTCTACAAGAGTGGCCAGAACATGGAGGTAGCTCTCTTGGGTCTCTGCCTTCTGTCTCTTGGCCCTCCACCCCCACATTCACCTTCCAGAAAGTACAAGTCTTAAAAACAGCCTACCTTATTATAGACATCCTGGCGACTGGTGGAGTGACTCAAGTGGTAGAGTGCAATGTAAGCACCCAGTACTGTCAAACAAAACAAAACAAAAAATACAAAAATAAAAAAGAAGTCATGCTTTGTACTACCTTTACATTGCTATAAAGAAATAAATCCTTGGTGTAATTAACTTAGAGGAAAAGATTACTTTATGGTTCTGAAGCTTCCAGTCCAAAATCAGGCAGACCCATTGCTTGGGCCTCTGGTTGGAATATCAGATGACAATGGTAGGAAGAACACGGTGGAGCAAACTGCTCATATCATTAGCAAAGACAATACCAGAGCCCCATTGTCCCCTTCAGAGCACACCCTCAATGACGTAAGGACCAAAAGTTCCACCACCTCCCAATAGTGCCACTCTGGGGACCAAGACTTTAACACATGGAACTTTAGAGGACATTCAACATCCAAATCATTAAGTGTTTTAGATGAAAATGGTCTCCATCCCAGATATCTCCAGGAGCCCAAGGAAAACTCACCCCAAATCTGACAGAGGCTCAAATAGGGACTTTCTTCCAAAGCAAGCAAAATTAAATAAATAAATGTAATTTATTTTTAATGGAAATTATGAAGGAAGACCCAAGGGGAAAAACCACTGACCCATTGAAAAAGCAAACAGATGGAATATATGTTTATAACAACATACCACGTGATTGACACACTAACGACCAGCTGTGCATAGCCAGCCATTAAAGGAAACCATCTGAGTGCTTCTCTTCAGCAAGTTTGAATTTTATGTGTGCAAAAAGAATATGGTATCCCATTTCTTTTTTTTTTGTATTCTGCATTCATAATTTTTTATTTGTGTATTCAAATGTACATACATTGTTTGGGCCATTTCTCCCCACTACTCCTCACCCCCTCCCTCTTCCCCTCCCCTTTAAGGCAGAACCTGTTCTGCCCTTATCTCTAATTTTGTTGAAGAGAAAGTATAAAGCATTTTTGCTAGTTGAGATAAGGATAGGTATACAGACAGTTTCCTAGCATTGCTTCCATGCACAAGTGCATTACAACCCAAATTGATTCATCTCTCCCAGACCTCTTCACTACTTTCCAGTCACCTTCCCATATTGACCTCTGTCATTTTAAGGTATTAGCTCCTGTGCAGTGGGAACATCAAACACTTTCAAGATTTGGATTTTTCTACCTATCCCCATTCCTCCCATATGTGCTCTCCCCTTAGCGTGTAACCCAAGTTTGATCACATTGCTGTATTTGCCCTAGATCTAAAGTCCGCATATGAGGAAGAATGTACGATTTTTGGTTTTCTGAGCCTGACTAACCTCACTCAGGATGATGTTCTCCAGTTCCATCCATTTACTTGCAAATGATAAGATTTCATTCTTCTTCATGGCTGACTAAAATTCCATTGTGTATAAATACCACATTTTCTTAATCCATTCATCAGTAGTGGGGCATCTTGGCTGTTTCCATAACTTGGCTATTGTGAATAGCGCTGCAATAAACATGGGTGTGCAGGTGTCTTTGGAGTAACCTGTGTCATATTCCTTTGAGCACAGGAGTGGGATTGTTGGATCATATGGCAGGTCTATGTGTAGATTTTTAAGGAGTCTCCAAATTTTTTTTCCTGAGTGGTTGCACTAGTTTGCATTCCCACCAGCAGTGTAAGAGGGTTCCTTTTTCCCCACATCCTCGCCAACACATGTTGTTAGTGGGGTTTTTAATGATGACTATTCTAACAGGGGTGAGGTGGAATCTTAGTGTGGTTTTGATTTGCATTTCCTTTATGACTAGAGATGGGGAGCATCTTTTCAAGTGTTTTTTGACCATTTGAATTTCTTCTTTTGAGAAAGTTCTGTTCAGTTCAGTTACCCATTTCTTTATTTGTTCACTGATTTTGGAGGAGTTTAGTTTTTTGAGTTCCCCGTATATTCTGGTTAGCAGTTCTTTGTCTGATGTGTAGCTGGCAAATATTTTCTCCCACTCTGTGGGTGGTCTCTTCAGTTTAGAGACCATTTCTTTTGCTGTGCAGAAGCTTTTTAGTTTTATGAAGTCACATTTGTCCTTACTTTCTCTTAGTTGCTGAGCTATTGGGGTTCTATTGAGGAAGAAGTCCTTGCCTATACCTATTACTTCCAGAGTGTTTCCTCTCTTTCCTGTACCAGCTTTAGAGTTCTGTGTCTGATATTAAGGTCCTTGATCCATTTTGAGTTGATACTAGTACATGGTGATAAACGTGGATCTAGTTTCAGCTTTTTGCAAACGGCTAACCACTTTTCCCAGCAACATTTGTTGAAGAGGCTGTCTTTTCTCCATCGTATGTTTTTAGCACCTTTGTCAAAAATAAGGTGGGCATAGTTGTGTGGCTTCAAATCTGGGTCCTCGACTCTGTTCCACTGGTCTTCATGTCCATGTTTGTGCCAGTACCATGCTGCTTTTATTGTTATTGGTTTGTAATATAGTTTGAAGTCAGGTATTGTGATACCTCCAGCATTGCTCTTTTTGCTGAATATTGCCTTGGCTATTCCTGGACTCTTGTGTTTCAAAATGAATTTTAGGGTAGATTTTTCAATCTCTGTGACGAGTGTCACTGGGATTTTGATGGGAATTGCATTAAGCATGTAGATTTCTTTTGGTAGTATAGCCGCTTTTACTATGTTTATTCTCCCAATCCATGAGCATGGGAGATCTCTCCACCTTCTGTAGTCTTCCTCATTCTCTTTCTTCAGGAGTTTGTAGTTCTCCTTGTAGAGGTCATTCACATCCTTTGTTAAGTTTACTCGTAGGTATTTGAGTTTTTTGAGGCTATTGTAAATGGAATTGTTTCCATATATTCTTTCTCAGTTTATTCATTATTGGTGTATAAAAAAGCTAATGATTTTTGTAAGTTGATTTTGTATCCTGCCACCTTGCTCTAGTTGTTTATGGTGTCTAAGACTTTTTGGGTAGAGGTTTTTGGGTCTTTAAGATATAGGATCATATCATCTGCAAATAGGGATATTTTGACAGTTTCTTTGCTTATTTGTATTACTTTTATTTCTTCTTCTTGCCTAATTGCTCTGGCTAGGAATTCCAGGACTGTGTTGAATAGGAGTTGGGATAGTGGGCACCCTTGTCCCATTCCTGGTTTTAGAGGGAATGGTTTCAGTTTTTCACATTAAGTAATGTTGGCTGTAGGTTTCCAGTTTTTCTAGAGCCTTTAAGTTTTTTCTGCATCTATTGAGATGATCAAGTGGTTTTTGTCTTTGCCTCTATTAATGTGCTGTATTACATTTATAGATTTATATATGTTGAACCACCCCTGCATCCCTGGGATGAAGCACTTGGTCATGGTGGATGATCTTTCTATGTGTTTGGATTGGTTTGCCATTATTTTATTGAGGATTTTGCATCGATGTTCATTAAGGAGATTGGCCTATAGTTCTCCTTTTTGGAGGTGTCTTTGTCTGGTTTTGGGAAGTGTAATACTGCTTCATAAAATGAGTTAGGCAGTTTTCTTCCCTTTCTATTTTGGAACAGTTTAAGGAGGTTGGTATTAGTTCTTCTTTAAATTCAGCGAGAATCATCAGGTCCTGGACTTTTCTTTTTTGGGAGACTCTATTGCTGCTTCAATTTCATTTTGTGTTATAGATCTATTCAGGTGATTAATATCCCCTTGGTTCAATTTTGGATGGTCATAAGTATCTAGAAATCTGTCCATTTCTTCAAGATTTTCAAATTTATTAGAATATAGTTTCTCAAACTAGTCTCTGATGATTTCCTGGATTTCTGGTGTTTTTGTTATCTCCCCTTTTGCATTTCTGATTTTACTGATTTGGGTTTTTTCTTCCTCATTTTAGTCAGGTTTGCCAGGGTCTGTCAATCTTATTTATTTTTTCAAAGAACCACTTTTTTTTCATTGTTTTTTTGTTTTTGTTTTGTTTCTATTTCATTGATTTCAGCCCTTATTTTTATTATTTCTCTCCTTCTGTTTGTTTTGGGATTTGCTTGTTCTTGTTTTTCTAGGAGTTTGAGATGTAGCATTAGGTCATTGATTTGAGATCTTTCTGTCTTTTAATATATGCACTCATGGCTATAAACTTTCCTCTTAGGACTGCCTTTGCTGTGTCCCATAGGTTCCAGTAGGTCATGTTTTCATTTTCATTAACTTCCAGGAACCTTTTAATTTCCTCTTTTATTTCATCAATGACCCATTGATCATTGAGCAATGTGTTGTTCAGCTTCCAAATTGGCATGTTTTTACTGTTTTTTTGTTGATTTCTAGTTTTAATGCATTGTGATCAGATAGAATGCATGGGATTTTTCTATTTTCTTAATTTGCTGAGGCTTGCTTTGTGCCCTAAAATATGATTCAATTTTTGGAGAAGGTTCCATGAGCTGCTGAGATATTGTATATTGTGCAGAAGTTTGATGAAAATAATTCTGTAGACATCGGCTAGGCCATTTGATCTAATGGCTGTGATTTAGATTCTAGGATTTCTTTTTTTTTTTTATTATTCATATGTGCATACAAGGCTTGGTTCATTTCTCCCCCCTGCCCCCACCCCTCCCTTACCACCCACTCCCCCCTCCCTCTCCCCCCCCAATACCCAGCAGAAACTATTTTGCCCTTATTCTAATTTTGTTGTAGAGAGAGTATAAGCAATAATAGGAAGGAACAAGGGTTTTTGCTGGTTGAGATAAGGATAGCTATACAGGGCATTGACTCACATTGATTTCCTGTGCGTGGGTGTTACCTTCTAGGTTAATTCTTTTTGATCTAACCTTTTCTCTAGTTCCTGTCCCCTTTTCCTATTGGCCTCAGTTGCTTTAAGGTATCTGCTTTAGTTTCTCTGCGTTAAGGGCAACAAATGCTAGCTAGTTTTTTAGGTGTCTTACCTATCCTCACCCCTCCCTTGTGTGCTCTCGCTT